ACAATGAACATATTGAGATATCAAATATAAGATCTTAATGATATCCTTGTGACCTTTTTAGATGAAAGCAATACTTAGAAGAAAACAGAGAATATAATCATCCACATACCTGTAAAAGTCCATGACAAACTATTTGTATGCCATAGATAAAGTTTTTGAAATCAATGACTGAGACCCCTGGATTCCCTAACACCACAATGACCTTACTGTGTAGTCTGATGGTCACAAGAAATCTAAATCGCATCTATTATGGAAAAATGAATTTTATCAGGTTAATCAGGATCATATGACCAAGCCTGTGCTTTTTACTGACTGTCTATATTCTACCACATGCAGGTGCGTTGTTAAGACAATAATGAAAAAAAACTGATTGAAGGAAGATACTTAAAGAAAACCGGCGCCAAAATTCAGATCAAATTTTCTTATTTTCAGACCAAGTCTGTTTAAGAAAAAAAATTAAAAGTCATGCCCCTAACTGAAATCAATATTTAACTACCCTATTCACAGTGCCTAGATTTCATAAACCCAAAAATGGTTTCATGATTACATGCATTGAATGCAACACATTTCCCAGAACTTCAAGAATATCATGTTGAATACTGACTTTTCACGTCACAGCAGATCTGAAGCATGAGGGCCAATATACTGGAATAAATTGGACAGAAAAAAACAGATGGTAAGAAATTTTACTCCACCCTAACAGCCCTAACTCCTAGCATTATGGAGATCACTTGAGAGTCCTTCCAAGTGTTCCAGCAATCAAAAGCAACAAGGGTGTGTACAGAAACACAGCAGATGTTCGAATCAGGTGAGCCGAAGTCTGGCTATGTCTCTGCAGGACATAGGTGTATATAAAGAATACACTGAAGAGAAAAAAAGGAATCTGACTACCTAGACAGTGTTCAAGTGATTGCTGATAATCAGCTGGTGAATAATGCTTATTTTTTTCAACAAGAACTGATAATATGCAATTCAACACCCAAGCAGTGATGCAACCTCACATCATGTGCACTCAACTATGACTTGTCTGTTTTTTTTTCTGCATGGAGTTTAAATACACATCAGACTGACGCACAGGTCATTAATGTGCCTGTCTGGAGTTTAAAGAATATTGGGCAGGTGAACTTTAAGTGTTAACCTTACCACTACAGGACCAGCCAGGTGTACTGTGTGGATACATTACCTAGTCACCTCATCATAATAGATCTAGGCAATTACTTCTCCATCTCTTTGGGCAAAAATACAGAGAATCATTCAAGAAATATATACACACTCCAGGCATAATAAACACCCCCAAGCATAAACATATCATTTCTCTTCTCAAATATATTGCATGCACTGTACTTAGTATCTCTAAAATGATGGAAAGCCACATGATAGTATTCAGTTGTTGCCAGGCAGAGAGTAATTACAGATATCTGCAAGCATCAAGTTGTACATTATAGTCAAAACAAAATTAAGACAGACAAAATTAAAATTTAGTTGACTTTTAATTTTTTATGTTAATTTCACCTGATGTACATGTACCCTGCAGGTATCCATCAGACTTGCTTGGATTCATGACATTAATTATACAATTACAATTTAAAAATCAAATAAACATCAAACTCCACAAGGAAAGATTAAGGCTTTCATCATTGGCTTCAACAATACTTACATACTTGTACAAAGCAAACTTCTTTCATTTTGCATAAAAGTTTTCTTGTATCATTTAAAATTTTCATAAAGCCAACATAAAAAATTCCCAGCAATTTAACTTTATGAGAAATAGCTTCTCACAATACTGCCTCTGTGCTCAGCCTATCTGACGGCAGTTGACAGGTTTACAATGCCTAATGGAAGTAGCCGTCTGACTTGATAACATAAGACCTGCCCAGAAGCTAGAGCATTTCTTTCTCTCTGAAAACTGCTGACAGGTTCTTGGGAGTAGGTCTGGCATTTACATTGTGAGACCTGTCTCAATATTGTCAGACATTTCATTTTAGTAATTACAACTATTTATAAGAATGCCAATCATGTCTGCTAACTTTTCCCTATCTCAACTTGTTACTGTCATGGTCAATCTAACCTGTCACAGTGAAGAGCCCTATAGACCTGTGGGTAACTCCGTGACCCATTAATTGAAATGGAAGTAAATTGTAATGCCACTTCCATTAACCCATAGACCAACATTTGCAGAAGAAAAACCAAGAAATAGATTTAATCAATTAGGGTGCGGTGGGGTAGGTCCAAAACTGAGACCGCATTCAACAGTGCGACTGTTACGTTAGTCCCCTCCATGCAGGAGTAGCCATGCATCCACAATCACACAAATTGGCTTCACTTTTATTTACAATAAGCACCGTGCTATGTGGGGGTGAGTGAACAGTGAGTAGAGAGTAACATGTGAGTAGTGGCATGTGTTAACAGATCCATGCAGTAAAAATCGCAATGATGGAACTTTGCCAAAGAGACTACCATCCTGGCAACAATGGACTTCTCGATTGGAAAAAAAATAAAAAAACTGCTGCATTTAGGTGTTTTTGCGTGAAGTGATTCACTGAGTTAATGAAAAGCTAAATCATTTCTGTGCAGAATTGTACAATTTGACATTTTCCTTTTTTTACTACTTGCGAAGATTAAGAGAAAGAGAGTGGTGACCTTCTGCCAGGAACCTTCTGATTGCAACAGTCAAATTCAATCAATGACAGTCTGTCTGCAAGAAGAACTACTGTGGTGATGGTAAGACATTTAATTATAAATATTTCCATAGCCAGTAAAGATCCTAGCTACTGGACACCTCTATCTGCAGACACGGGTATTCATACCACAGACCAACTCCTGCTGGCAACCCTAGTCACAGCTCATTAGATAGCTCATTAGAGGCACGTCTGCTAAATATTTGATCATCCTATTAATACAAACACTGCTAATTAGAAACTATGCAGGAATATTAACAAGTGTGCCTACCTGGTCTACCTATGTCGTCTTAAATGAGTTCCTACCTATTGTTTTTAATGCAATTTAATACAGTTTGGGTACCATAAAAAGAGATGAACAAATTTTACTTGTAATAATGAGAGGTCATTTTAAAATAGTAAAAATTTATATACAAATATACAGGAATAAGAAAATAAAAATGCATGTTGTCCTTTATCTGCCAGTGATTTCTGATCCAGAAAATTACCAGTATTTTGAATTCCATTTGATCATGTAGTTCCATGTCTGCTGAATATACTGCTGAGGCATGTAAGTGGGCAATGCATGCAACCAGGTAATTATATATATCATAGTTAGGAAATCCTATATTTCAATGACATATGATTTTCACACAGAGTCAAACTCAGTAAAGGTGTTACTGGGTGCAGTAAGCAAGAAAACAACCACTACTACAGAACTGGCTCATGAAACAACAGGTAAAAAATATCAATGGGTTGGCCAACATTTTGCTCAGCAAAATTGCCTTCTGATTTTCTTGTCACTAACAGTAGAAAATTGTTGACATAAAATGTGCAGACTTCAAAAATTGTATCAAACTCATTTGGTGATTTTCAGTTCTTCAAACTGATGTTTTTTCAACTATTGGCTGCTAGCCCAACTAACAATCTTTTGAAGTTCACATAAAGTAAAATCAGCGTAAGAGCAGTAGTAAGCAAATAAATAAAATGCCTCTTACCTGTATATAAACACAAAAAGATCCAAGATATGAAAAAAAACCTAGTTCAATGAATCATAGGATTCAGATCCAACACACTCATGTATCTGGATATAGAAAACTGCCCTAGATGAGGTGTAGAACAGTTAGCTAGCTGCCAAGATATTCCAGCTCATCTTCTGGGATGTGCTTCTCCATACAACTCTAACACTAGTACTGCTGAACAGGTAAACTTTTCCTTGAAGTGGGTCAGCTCTCCAGTCAGCCGTACTGGGAAAATGTTTATGCTCAAAAAAACATCTGTGTGGCGATGGAAACCGACTCCAGGTGTACCTGGGTTCACTCTCTAATGATCCTATCTGACTGGGGAGGGCAACATTACAGATAATTTCTGGCGGCACTACATCTGCTTTGCATCTCCTATAGAGTGTTTTCACACTAAATCGCTCAGAGATGAAGACAAAATTGACTAGACTGGCACAGTTTGTGTTTATGTAGCACAGGTAAAGTTGACTTCATTACCTGGTTCTGAGACTCATTTGATACAGCTGTGTCAAATTCAGATGCTCATAAGTGTCTTCTTAACATGTGATTTCATTACGTGTATGGTACAGTATGGACAGCTAACTTACATGCCACGTAAGATGGTAAAATCAATGCAGTCCTTATTGATTTACCTGCAGTATTACAGAACTTACCTATGTACTGTACTAAGAATATGGACACTTTTTTTTTTGTTAATGTGCAAAATAAAATCAATCCAATGAAATTTTGGGTTAAGATAATAATGATATTTTTCTTTCATTTTGGTCCAAGAAAAGATCCCCTATAACTACTGAGTAAATTAACTTGTATTATAAAGTTGAGAGTATCACGTAACCAACCATGAGCTAGCATAAAAATGTTCAGTTGCGTTCTCCTATTAGATGGAATTTAATTAAGCCAAAGAGTTGATATAAAAGTAACCTAGAGCTCCTTGCAGGGCAATGAAAGAAACCATAGAAAACAGAACACAGAAAACACAATTACCAAAAAAAATTTACACTTTGAAACAGTATCAATAACCAAAGAACATTTTTTCATTCTCTGATTCACAATGGCGTTAAGAATTCTGAATGAAAAGAAAACTGATATGGCCGCTTTTGCTTAACTGTGACATTTTTCCATTTTCAGTTGTCACATGGTAATAAAAAAATAACAAAACCAGTTCCTCCATAGCAGTTTACTGTTGTTTAAATATACTTCAAAAATCCTAAGATACAGGAATTGAGTTTAATGACAAAACAAAACTTTACCATTACATTAAAATAAGTTGTTTTACGATTATTTAGAACAATAAAATATGTATATAAAAAGGGAAACTTACCAATTCATCTGTCACGTATATTATCTTCCACTGTCAGGCAAAGATGCTATTCAAAAAAATTAAAAAATGAGAGATGACCTAGTGAACTCAAAAATTTGATGTCATAAATTAGGCAAATGCTCTCAGTACTGTGTAAAGGCATCTCTGCGCGATAAATATATACAGTTCAATGCCCAATCAGTTTAGCTGACATAATGAAGCTAAAATTTCCTGTGTGAATCAGAAAAACAAGTTTCACATATAGCCAAGCAAAGTGATGAATGCATGACAAGTCCTGATAGACATACACATGTCAAAATTATGCTATAATGTTCCCCCACACAGCGATACCTTCTTCACGTGTTCAATGAACATTTAAATGTACCTAATGGTGGACATGTAATTCAAAATGCTTGCCAAAAAATATCTATGGTCATACAAAAAAAAAAAGTATTACACTTAAGTGTTTTTAAATCTGGCTCCATCTAGAACATGCATGATCTCACTCAGCATAAAAAAAGGTTTAATTCAACTTCCAGTTGTGATGCATCTTTAGCATCTGCCCCACTTCTATCAAAAAACTGGCATGCTGTCAATAAAATATGTTACAAAAACCAGGCACCACAAGCTTTTTTCTTGCAAATTAATAAAGCCCAAGTACTAGATATACTGTCAGTTAGAGAGTGCACCTGGTTGCTCAATACAGCAACATACTAACCACATCAATATCTCATGGAAGTCTTTCAAGTAGTAGCAACGAGATGGGTGCCCTGGGTTGAAATAAACCAACAAATGAAGCTCAGGACTTCGTCATCTGTCCAGGTGACCATACACACATTTACATATCACACTTACAACACCTGTTAATCTAAAGCAAATAATTCTATCTCTTAAAACCAACACTTATCTCCCACAACTGTTAATTATGCAAAAATGAAACATGATTATTTTCAAAATACCTGACTTTACTGTGTTCTGTTATGAGTTCTCTTCCTATCTCAAGCAGAGCATTTAAAGAATCAAAGACATACCTGAAATGTCTCCCCTACCTGTGATATCTTACACACTCTCAGCACAAAGGCAGGTACACACAGTTACACAATGAGGCATAACTATATACCCCACATTCATTGGCCATCTGGATGTGTTTGGTCCCCACAACAAAACCCAGGTGACTTATTTATTCTGATTAAATTGACTGATAATTGTCACCTTCAGCCATCTACAACCAAAATTTGTCTTTCTCTATACACATCAAAGGGAAGCAGGCAGACCTCATATCTACTTATTACTTAAAGGGATCATTAATTTAAAGAGTTTGAAATTGCTTTACAATCCATGCTATTGTTCTCAGAGCACAATGTAGCTGATATCACAGATTTTCATATGATTTTAGTTCTGAGACAGAATTTCCATCTCAACTGATGACAGTTACCAAGTGCAGAGGGAAGTTTTGAAGGAAATTAAGAGAGTGACATGGGTGACATGATGCCTCTTATTAATAAAAATCTACACATTTTGAGACCACAAGTAATGGAAAGCGATTCATCTTGGCAGCCCACTTCCCGAGTTGCAGACAGATAACCATCAGCATTTTCTCATTAACCTTCAGGGTGACACATCTGGTCAGACGGTCTGACCAAATGACCATGTAGCAAGCAACCCTGCACACAGGTAATATATCTCACATGTCAGCGGAGACTTACCTTCAATTTTCATTTAAGGAGAGGAAATCAGATGAAGAAAGGGGAAGGGGGAGGGAAGCAAATTCACAGCAAATTCTCCAAGGGCAGAATGCTGACAACAGATGGGATTCACAACATATTGTTAAAGAGATAAAGGATACTTACAGATGCCCTGTGAACAGCAGACTTTCTATTTCTCCCCTGAAGAACAAATGGCACCTGAGTATGAAAGGACAAGTCTAATCCTCAAGCCTGATTATATTTGCCATTAAATATTGCATTAAACAAATTAAGCCTTTGTAATAACAAATGTCACTGGGTCTAATGGAAAATGGGGGGTACCCCTGTGAAGGCTGCATTGTTTTGTTACAGCTTCAAAGCAACCAGTTCCATGTAACCTTTTCTTAACTTGCCAAATATTGATAGAACCAGACATAAATTGGACATGCACACACAATGAAAGTCAATCCTAACAAGGGAAGGTATTTTTGGGGCAATCCATAATCCTTTCTCTGGTGAATGGACAATATGAAATTTAGGGATTAATGTCACTGTTTGTGGTCAGTTCCATATCGGACAATAAACAAGACTGTTCACTAAACAAGAATAAGATGGATTTTAAAAACATATGAAATGTTCAACCATCATTTCATTTTCTTACACAAATACATATAAAGAAATTCCTCAAGCAATCAATCATTTTTTCCTCAAAAAAACTTTAAGCTTTATTTGCAAATTACTTAAAATATGATATGGGGTGGTGAAGCTTATCTTTGCAAATCCTGCAGAGGGAGGGGGGAGGTTACCCTAGATAGAGACATATCTGTGAATATCTGTAAAAAATCTATCACTCGCCCTGGTAGAGGGTAGGGGGAGGTGAGGTATGTTATGGAAGGAAAAATACTTTGGAACAATAGACATATACTTCAACTGTACCATCCTTGCTTGATGTTTTCAGTACTGAAAATAACCAAGATCTCCAAAAGCTATCTTTAATTTAACATCATCGAAAAAAAAAAAAAAAAAAAGGAAATGAGTACATAAATATTAAAGACAGGCTATGCTTAGGTGCCAAAAACGTCTTTTTTATTTAACTGAAAAAAAATTCAGATTGAGGAAAAAAGAGCCACCCATGACACCTGAATCAATATTTTTAGTGAAATAAATAGATCAGCTTCCTTGGTCTTTTAAATGTCTTATATATATATAAATTTATAATAAATTGTGAGAGCATGTTTTTAACTTGATGCTTAAATGGGATAGTGTGTCTCACATCAAGGGTAGTAAATGGGAAAAAAATATATAAAATGCTCTTAACAAAGATGGAATCTTTTTCCTTGATTCTCAAATGTCAAATATATATACAATATTGTAATAAATTGTGAGAACATATTTTTTATCTTGAATCCAAAAAAGGATATTATGTTTCACATCAACAGTAATAAATAAAAATTATAAAAATCTTCAATAATTTCCTTTAAAATTTACAATCAGTCATTTCAAGGAATTAGTCCAATTCCTTGGTTATTTCCAAACCTTCCTTACAGAAAGCCAACTTTTGGAGGTTGTGGAAGCACAGCTGTGACCAGACCACTCAGTCACATCAACAGGAGACTAATAAGCCTTTCATTGTTGCTAATATCCCATAATAACTTGGGCACAATGAAGGTACTTTCCTGTTATGCTTGGTTAAACAATAAGAAGCAAACCAACAAGTGAAAGGCCAAATGATCAAGTACTTTGAGCCATAATGAGTAATTGTACTGTTAAGAATGAGACTATTCTCCAACTTCCAGCACAATGTACCAGTCATGCCTTCCCCACCAAATAGGATTATCCTGATACAAAATATAACTCTATGACCCCCTCCCCTCAGGTTATGAGTAAATATATACTAAATACAGCAGATGCAGAAGCATTATTATATTCTTAGATATGCTTTGCTGCACATTTGGCAGGTTATATCACAATATTTTAGATAATTTGAAGAAAGAATGGGCACAGAAAGTGTTCAGACCATCAGCATCTCTTACATTTTACAGTCCTCATGTACGTTCAGTATTTTTTAAATTACCAGTGCTATTTGTACATGTTCCTATGTGGATCTAGTCTGATTCTACTTTATCAAAATAAATGAAAATGCAGCTAAACTAATCTCCAAAGCAAATTGAAATGTTTTCAACAATGACAAAAAATTTGCAAACAAGCCCACTCCAGTAATGACCCATGAATAAGTAGGATCATGCTGACAGACAAGTTGATCTCCTCTGGTTTCCCATTAGCAGAGGAAATGAATATCATGTTTATTCACCCAATGAGGCGATAATTTCTAAAGAATAATTCAACTGTAAATACTTGAAAAAAAAAAAAAAGCTGCTGATTCTTAATTCTAATTTCATTTCCACCGAATAAAATTCAGCTTAATTTACTTTTCTATATATTAGTTCTATAAGGCCATTATGCCATTTTCCAACCAGAAAAATCTATGCTGTGAACCTAGTTGATCTAGAGACTCATTAAAATGCTTTAAAAAACCAAATCACAGGTTGTTTTGGTTAAATTCATATCCAGAAATAATGAATATCAGGAAACTAAGCCTCATAACATTCATGTACAGATACTTTTTCTGCAACAATTTACAGTTGAATAAACAACACCCACTGCAGGAGATCTGACAAAAGGTAGTCTCAGGTGAATCTAAACCTTTTCCAAACAAAACACCAAAGATTATGTTTCAATACCACAGCATGTTATAAAACATCCATATCTCTGTTGTTTATCAAAAAAAGGAAAAGAAATTTGCTGAACTTGAATCAAAACATTCAAAATCAATCTACAGGAAAAACAAACTAAATTATTTCTGGCAAAAGGTCTAAGCAAACTCTATAAATACAAGAAAACATATGATCAATAAGAAATGAGACCAAGTTTTGCTATGAATGCTACATGTTAACCTATAAAATGTCACTCACCAAATGGGTATTTTTTTTCTTGTTAGCAAAGCCCTCACATCTTACAGTTAACCAATCGCAATCAAATCCAAAGAAACACATCCTGTGCCAGTTTTTATTCGTTTTTTTTTTTTGTTGTTTTTCCTCAAATCATGATTCATTATTTTCAACAGAAAAGTGATCACTTCATATCCTGATCTTCACACAAACTAACCAGCAGGGTATTTATTTAAAAATGCCAAAATATATTGTAACAAATTAAACAATAGCCCACTTTTGTTTATCTCATGACACTTTTGGTCAATGCTTCACAAACCATGTATTTTACTACAAAAGGTGGGATACCATCTGCTTCCTATTGGGTTAATTTGGAAGGAAGGAAGGAAGAAAGGAGGGGGTTGTGGTATAGGTATTTCTGTATACCTCTTAACATTGCAGGTGCTGACCTCAAGTCACTTGTCGTAACCTAATTCATATGTTCAACCACAAGACACTTATGAGGTTCCTCTACCAAGCTATATTCTATTTTACATTAACTTAAGCTGTACTTATAGGGTGTTTATAGAATATAGACCAGGAAGTTACACTTGAACAAATCCAACTAGTGTGTTTGCAACTCCATCACGTCAGTATATTGGTTTATCCTTATTCAAATATAAAATATCACACTGACATACTTTTGCAATACATAACATTAGGATATTTACACTGTATTTCAGTTTGCCCATTCCTTACTGCCTAAGTCTGAATTATACCTACTGCAAGCATAGCAAACAACAGGACATTTACACAACTTCCATCTGCTGATCAAAAGTAAATATATTATTTTATGAATTGCATAAATGTACCATTTGCCAAAAGACAAAAAGGATGTAAAACCACAAGACCACAAGCACATTTTAACAGAAGACTTAAAAACACTTCTTGTACTTTCATACGTTTTAAGTGTGCTTGGTGAGACCTAAACTGCATCTAGACTGCTGTTACTGGATTTACTTTTGCCCATACTTAACCAAGAGAAATATATACTTTCTTACACAAGTCTTTCATGAAAATTATGTGCAAAATCCCTGTTTCAACAGAAAACCAAATAGCAATCATACATCAATTTTTGAATTTCACGGTAAAAGGAAGAAAACAAAAGATAATTACTGTAGTGCACACCATGGATAAATATCACATTGGCAAAATGTATAGTGTACATGGCAACAATCACACCATGGCACTGCTACATGTAGCAACTACACATTAGCAACAGTTTTTGCAATATTCAACAGCCAGGCTTATAAATCAAAAGACGCTGCACATCTTGAGTAAGTTGAGACAGAGATGTTTATAAATCTATTTTCCCAACGGTATCAAATTGTCATAATTGGCAGTGGAAAGGCTGTATTATCCATATAATCACATTAATAGAAAAAAGTCAACTGGGGCACCAAAAAAAGCAATTTCCATAATGATATCGATTACTTTCGTAATTATGTTGACATGTTGACAACTACCCGAACAAACATACGCGCGACGGCTGGTTGACAACTCTCAACACACCACCGACCACTAGACCCCCTAATCTTACAGCTGTCACAAAAATCAAGTGTATTCAATCTAGTGGGCAGTTCCTTCCGATTGAGAGTAAAATATATTGAACTAAATTTCACTGGACCATATTTTACGTTACCTGTATTTTGAAAGTCGTCAACACTGAGATGTATGTTTGGCTCATATAGACGGTCGCAACCCAGGAGACCTTAGTCTGTCATCTGAGACTTGTGCATTTACATCGTGGTGAATACTCAAAATTTTCTTTTAGGAAAATAATTTGTATAAGCTTTTGCGTCACCCTTTTTCGTCTACATCAATTTGATGCTATGAAATGATATTACACACTACATTGTTGGAGAATGAGTATATTCCGGATTTCCGATCGGTCTTTTATTGCCATCAATGTGGTAGTTGAGTTGTGCAGGGTACTATGGTGCGTGCGTTGTGGTCTTCACTGCCAAAGGCATTTTCATTCTCACGATCCGAACGCAAAAAATATCATTGATCCAAACCTTTGCTAATCCGAATTTTTTTTTTACCTCGAGAGAGAATCCGACAGTATATATAGTTTACAAGTTATAACTTGAGATATAAATATAGAACTTTTAGAAAGAATGAAGCTTTCCAAAAGTATATAAAACAGGTACCTATTTCATCGTGGAAGGACTGTGTGTTCGGCCTTAACTGATTTATGTTCGAAGCAATGAACCTTCTTCACTTTAATGAAATATCGGAATTTACAGAAACTATTACTATTATTTTTATTTAAAATATTCTGGCAACCTGTAAAGAGTTAAATAAACATGGCAAAATCAGATAAAATTACTAACTGGTCAGAACAAAAATATTGATGGCTATTGAAAAATGAGATAAAACATCCATTAAATAAACTAAGAAAAAATATTTAACTTAAAAGATAATTATACCAGTCAGATTTGGAGCTCGTATATACTATATAGATAAAATCCCCAATCACTCGTTTGGACTTGATCGGTCGTCCTTATAGGGATATTTGTCGGTTTGTCTCGGTTATAGAATACAATCTGTGATCAGGGGCGTTTTTTATTTTTGTGAACAATTTTTTTGCCTTTTTTCACACGATTATTCAAGTTAAATATATATATATATATATATATATATATATATATATATATATATATATATATATATATATATATAATGGACCCTCTACATTTGTATAGTAAAATACTATAGGGTTAAGTACTTTCGTTTTAACTTGAGCATTCACATAATGCACTGTAAGAATGACAATGTTATATTGTTCAATATATCAATTCAATTGTATTTAACGTTTTACCTATCTTTTTCCAAATATTTCTGTTAGAACATTAAGTGTCTATCTTTCTCGCAATAGTAATGGTTTTATTTAAAACATGACTTAAAATTGACACAACAAACGCAATCTTATATTCAAAGCATTACCCTTGACAGTTTTATCATCAAACCCATCCCATAATTTTTTTCTGGGTAAAAAATAATAATGAAATTAAACAAAATGACGTGGGGCACGCTGTAGGACTTGTAGATCTAAGGTTAATACAGGTATTTTGTTTGACAAAAACTGCTGTGATAATGCATAAATCTTAGTCATAAGTAAATGGAATGATTTTCTTCGCCATCTGGTTTTCTGATCTTTGTTTCTGATTACTAATCAAGAACACCGCCGAACGAAGCAAGGAAGAGTAGGAACGATGACCAGAATACATCAGCGATAGGTCTTCTTCAAGTGAACCGCTCTTTTGAAAAGCTAGTCCGCAGAAATAGTTGGACACGTAGCGGCTTCTCACAGATAAATCTGATTTATCGATTTTATGTGACTTGAAATCAATTTAGCTTATTTTTATTTTCATAGTGATTATGAGTCCTTTTTGGCGGAAATGTAAATTAAAGTATTCTTCAATTATTTAATGCGGAGCTATTTCTTCAAAGATGGCATCTTGTGACAACATCCGGATGCTAATCTTCGGCATATTTTTCTTAATATCTCAGATATGTGCTTCTCAGAACAAACATTTATCGGAAGAAAGGACTAAAAGGGGAGTAGATACTTCACATTATCATAATTATAAGGAATTAACTCAGATGTTGAAAGACTATGAACGACAATTTCCTACCCTGTGTCGTGTTGTCAGCATCGGGAAAAGCGTACAGAAGCGAGAGTTGTGGGCACTTCAGATAACAGACAATGTTAACATGACAGAACCCGGGGAACCCATGCTGAAGCTTGTGGGTAACATGCATGGAGATGAGACAGTTGGGAGGGAAGTTCTGATTTTTCTTATTCAGTACCTGCTTGAAAACTACGGTGTCAATGATCGGGTGACGAAGCTCGTTGATAATACCAATATTTTTATCATGCCGTCTCTAAATCCTGATGGCTTTGAAGCAGCAGTGGAGGGGAAATGTAACTCACTCTCACATTATGTAGGTCGTGAAAATGCTAACCATGTAGATTTGAATAGAAATTTCCCTGACCAGTTTGGCAACCCTTCTTACAAAGGAATTTTGCAACCAGAAACACAAGCTATGATCAGATGGATCGAAAACAACAAGTTTGTGTTGTCTGCTAACCTTCATGGTGGAAGTGTTGTGGCAAGTTATCCTTTTGATGATTCAAAGAAACACCAAGAGTCTGGTTTATACAGTGCTGCTCCTGATGATGCCATGTTCAAACATTTGGCTCACGTTTACTCCAACAACCATAAAACCATGCACACCAATACTGTGTGTGTTGGTGACAATTTCCCTGGTGGAATTACAAATGGAGCACACTGGTATGATGTACCAGGTATGTAATGCATTGTGCCAGCCATTTAACGTCAGATATACTGATTCGAGCTTGTGATGAACACAGAATTTAATCAATCCATGGAGTATGATTATTTGAAAAAAAAAATGATTCAGGTTCTACCTTTGATTATTAATTTTGTCCGTTTTGCTGTTTGACAAAAATAAATGCCAAGAGCAAGTGTACATATATTCAACTTGACATTGTTAATTTCATCTTTAGTTTTCTAAATATGTAACTGTGATCGGTAGTGCCCATATCAAATACAAAATGCAATGTTATTTTGTTAAAGATGGCAAACCATCCAAATGATCATTAAATCTTAATAATTTCAGGAGGGATGGAGGACTATAACTACCTGCATAGCAACTGTTTTGAGATCACAGTGGAACTATCATGCTGTAAATACCCTCCTAAGATTGAACTTCCAAAAGAATGGGGAAACAACAGAGAAGCTCTATTGGCATATATGGAGGAGGTGAGCAGTCTTCTGTACATGATTTTTACATAGCTTTGTCACCAAAAGTGTTGGTGTGGACTAACAAATATTTTTTGATAACACTGCTTCCTTATGCTGGGGCCAGTGCAGCATAATTACTCAGATTCTGACGAACAACTTTTACTGGCCCTAAGATTTCTGCATTATGAATTATGCACACAATTCTGTGTCACAAAATGACATCCTCCCACCTTTGAAATTAACAGGGACTTGGTTTTATGCATTATGGTTAAATGTGAGAAATTTGAAGTGACAGATCATTTCCTAAATATACCATTATTTTTTCTTTCCCCACTTTATAGCAGGTGGTGAAAATGAAAAGAATGACAAAATGTTGTCAAGAAGTTACAACATGTTATTTTCAGGTCCATAAAGGAGTTAAGGGTTTTGTGAGAGATAAAGACACAGGTGATGGCATTGAAAATGCTGAAATACATGTTGAAGGCATCAACCACAGGATCACCACAGCGTCACATGGAGACTACTGGCGCCTCCTGGTGCCTGGAACATACACCATCACAGCCAAAGCAGAGGGGTAGGCAGTTGTCAAGAAGTTAGATTGAATTAATGGTCAACTTTTTATGTTACTATATAAACTGATTGTGTTTTGTTATATTAAAGGACTGGTTATAATTGGATTGACCTTGAGTAAATCATCTGTTGGACAGAGAGTTTTGTGTTTCTTTTTACAAGCACTGTAACAGACTTGAAAGTATTTGTTGCTGATAATTTGCTGAGCTCGATAAGAAACTGTTATGGTTACTCTAACTTCAGGTATGATCCTCAAATTATAGAAAATATAAAGGTGACAGATGGTGATGCTGTTTCACAGGACTTCAGTCTGAAGAAAAGGGATGTTGACACATCAACAAAAGTTGGAAGGTAATAGCAGTAAACTGTGATTGTATCACAATGTGAAATTTATTGCTAGAAAACCCTATGCCTTAGTCTGATTTCAATGATTTAGCTGAAGAGATTTTGTGAAGGGGTAGTTTGATGTTGTTGTCACATGCTTCATCCTGAGGAAACAATTTGTATGGACTGTGATACATGCAGTGTTGCATTTGGTCTTTTAATTTCTTGTTAATTACGTTGTCATTAAAAATGTGAGATTTGGTACTTAATGCCCAGGTGTTTTATTATCCAAATATCATTTAATCATGCAAACGGTTTGACTGGTTTTAGTGGTAGTGGTAGTGGTGATTCCTTGGCTCCAAATTCTACACGGTCAATTGAACCTAGTACTAGCAGATCTTCTGCTGCCACCGCACCCCCAACTCTGGTCACCCCTGACAACCCCCTGGGGACCCTGATAGAGGAAGTAGCCATGTTGTCCGATGCAGACCATAGACTGAAACAGTCCTTTGTGGAGCCTCAAGTCTTCAAACACCACAGCCAGGAGGAGCTGACAGAGTTCATGCACAAGTATGCCCAGGAGTACCCTGCCATCACCAGGTTGTATTCTGTTGGGAAGTCAGTGCAGGGGAAAGACCTCTGGGTCATTGAGATCACAGATAATCCTGGGGTGCATGAGCCAGGTAAGGATGGATGGTTTTTTAGTGGAAGATGTAGTCAGTTTATAATGAGTGATAGTTTGTGTTGGAACATGATGCATAATGCTGTCAATGAGACCATTTAAATTTGTGTTGATAAATTGTCATTTTATGTTATTGACTTCGGTCCTTTTTAACACTTTTATGGTAATGATAAGATATTTAACAGTGTTTAAGATCATATTTGCAATTTAATAGAAATTTTATGGTAGATTTTCAATTCTAGCTTTTATGATATTTATATCAAACAGGAGAACCAGAATTTAAGTACATAGGAAACATGCATGGGAATGAGGTTGTTGGGAGGGAGATACTGCTGTTGTTCATACAGTTTCTTTGTGAAAACTATGGAAAAAGTGAAGTGCTGACTCTGCTGGTGAATCAGACTAGAATGCACATTATGCCAACTATGAATCCAGATGGTTATGCCATTTCCAAAGAGGGTAAGCACATGCATTTTTTTTAATTAGACCTTCACAAGACAAATTTGTAAAGTGTAGTTTCACACCATGGCATATATACTTTTGTTTACACCATATTTAGTTGCTATAGTTGGTAAAAGTTAGCATTTTTGTTCTGTATATTTCTAGGCGATGATTCAGGAGTGAAGGGGAGAGCCAATGCCCATGGTGTAGATCTGAACAGGAACTTCCCTGACCAGTATTTCAATAATGCTGGCAATGAAAAACAGGAACCTGAAACCCTGGCAGTGATGAAGTGGATAAAGGAATACCCTTTTGTGCTGTCTGCCAACTTGCATGGTGGCTCTCTTGTGGCCAACTATCCCTATGATGACCTGAAGAGTGGTTTGGGAGGGCATGGTGTCTACAGCAAGTCTCCAGATGACCAGGCCTTCAAATTGGTATCAGAGGCATACTCTTTGGTGAGATTTGTTTTATTTCAACTCTCAGAGCCATATGTTAATTGGAGAAGTGTCTTCTGAAAATTCACTCCCTACTGAACATTTGTTTGTGTGCATGGAGATTGAAGAACCAATAAACCAGTCAAACTGACAATAGAATGCATTTACTCATCCACACATAAAACAGAATGCACATAGTGGCTCATACAATCACAGAGCATACTCATTCAGTCTTAGTCTACCTGTTCCTGTTGTAGGCCCACAGCACCATGCACAAGGGACATCCGTGTGGGGAAAGATCCAATGAATACTTCAGTGCAGGAATCACTAATGGCGCTGCCTGGTACAGTGTGGCAGGTATGATGCATAGCTTCTCACTGTTAAAATCTTGAATCTCATGAAATAGCCACATGCAAAATGATGGGAATAAATATTTGTAAGTACTAATAATGTGATCAAGGACATGTTCTGGTTTTCCGATTTCTTAAAAGGTTTTATTTATAAGTTATTTTTGTGCTCATCAATAATGTATAATTTCCATCTTCTATATAACTTATATCCATATTGATATCCAAGATTTACACAAACAGTCCAAGGTGAGCTAGTGGAAATGACTAGGTATTGTGTTTAATTTGCTTACAGGTGGTATGCAGGACTGGAATTATCTCCACAGTAATTGTTTTGAGATCACATTGGAGCTGGGCTGTTTTAAATTTCCCTGGGCCAAGGATTTACCCAGCTACTGGAATGCTAACAAATTTTCCTTGTTTGTGTATGCAGCACAGGTACATTATAACTTATTGTGCTAATCACACTCATTATTAATCCAATTTCCAGTTCTCCTTGAATAGGATGTCTTAAACTTTTCAGTAATTCTCAGATATTATTTTCAAGTGATAAGTATCTTGACATGTGCAGAAGGAATAAAAACTAAAAATTTCTTGCAAAAGACATTTCAAATTGCTGAAATCATAACAAAACAGAAAGTATAAAAACTAAAAGAATTCATAACAAAAGATGTTTCCAATTGTTAAAATCATAAAAAAACAAATGGAATGAAATCTAAGAATTTATCACAAAAGATATTTCAAATTGTATTGAACTCACAACCAATTCCATCTTTATCCACAGGTTCACAAAGGTGTTCGTGGTTTTGTTAAAGTTCATGACACTGGGAAAGGTTTGGCTAATACCACCATCAGTGTGGCTGGTATTAACCATACTATCAGTACAGCTAGAGATGGAGACTACTGGAGAATTCTGGCACCAGGAACATACCAGGTCACAGCAGCCAAGGAGGGGTGAGTGATGATAGTATTTATATTACAGTTAAAAGTTGAATTGTGTAGTTACAATACCTCAACTCTCAAATGTCATGATTCTTAAAGATGTATAAATGGCATTGATACAGTCGTCAGAGTGATGCACATGTTGATGATTACAGGGCATGCATCGTCTTTGAACTGTAATTTTGGTCTGTCTGATATCAACTATTAAATTCAGATTCTGAAATTATGACAAAAAAAAGGAATGTTTTGAGGCGGTGATAGAAGAAAAATATATTTCAAAAAGTATTCAAATGTTCATAATTGTTGTGAGATGTAGTAATTGCTATATTTTTCATAACAGGTATAAGAGCCAAACCAAACAGGTTGTTGTGACATCAAACCCTGCTGTCCAAGTGAACTTCACCCTGGAGAAGGACGACGTGGAACAGTGGTCCAAGCAGAATGACTTTAATATAGCCAAGAACTTGGAGCAGACTTACAAGACTCAGGAGCAGATCAAGGAGGAGCTAATACAGATGGCTAAAGATAATCCAACCTTTGTCAAGTACAGGTCAGTGAAACATATATGACCTAGAACAATAAATTTCTGCTTCCTTGTTGCATACATCGGTGACAGAAGTATTGGAAGTTCATAGTTAAATTACTGGCTTATTGCTGTGATAGATTAGATCCACATTAGAATTTTTAAGCAAAGTTAAACTAATTAGTACAATGTTTTAGATGCCATAGGCTCTGTATTTTATTTTGAAACAGAGTTGAATTAATTTGTATAATGATAATCTTTTGCATAGCATATACAGTTTTAATTTAAAAAGATCAGATAAAATGGATCCCAATAACTATGTTCCCCACACGGTTTTAGTTGTGTAGTACTCCATATTTTAATGTACCATCTTAAAGCTATATGTACATAAAATTTGATCTTCCATCCCACAGGAGCCTTGGTAAAACTGGAGAGGGTAATGACATGGCATCCTTAGAGTTGGGGCAGCCATCAGGTTCTGTGGCCCATGTTGGTGTGTTTGGTGGACTGTTTGGTGATGAACCTGTTGGAGGAGAGATTATCCTTAGATTGGCTAGACACATGATTGAAGGTGAGAGATGGTTTATCGTAATGTCTTTTAAGTCTAACATTAATTTGCAGGTGTACTTACAGATACAAGTCTTGTCAGAAATATATTTTGATTCATAGTGCCTGGGATTTACCACAAATCAATGAAAATAATGCAAACATGAAAAAAAACATACACTGCATTTAATATGCATATGGTATTCTGATTCTGTTAAGGACACTCTTTTATAAATTTTCTCCCAGGATATAAAAGGAAGGACTCAGCACTTAGTAATCTGCTTTCCAAGGCCCACATTCACCTGGTCCCCTCAGTGGATGTAGATGGCCTGGAAGAGGATGCCAAACCTGGAGACTGTACTGGGAAACAGTACAAGGAGCCTTACATTGCCAATGACTTTGAAGATTCAGAAAATGGAAAGGTAGTTATTTCTTCAGATATATATATTATATATATTGAATAATTAGTTTATATATATATATATATATATATATATATATATATATATATATATATATATTGAATAATTAGTTTTCTGAATAATTGGTCACCTTATAACTCGAATTACCATTTAAATTTTTTTCTTTGGTATCAACTATGTGCCTTCACAGAATAGTTCTCCACCAACAATTTTTTCATTCAATAAAAGATAGAGGGAGCATAATTTTTTCAGTGGAATTTTGTAAATTAAAATATTGATAATTTAACAAGAATGAGTTTTTTTTTTCACCACTTTAAAATGAACAAATTTATAAACTGCAGATACCCAATGCTGAGGTACCATTGTTAAAACTATGTTTTGAGCAACACCAGTATCACCTTGTGCTGAGTCTGGAAGCAAGAGGAGTATATGTCAGGTATTGTCAATTAATTTTCTGAACACAGTTACCAGAAAGGTTTTGCATGGCATTAGCAAGTCTCACCAATTTGTCATAGCACTCAGGTTATGCAGTTGCCATTATATTGTAGTGTATCTAAATTAAATGAAATTAATATTTTAGAAGAGCATAAAGTTGAGCAAATAACAAGATGGTAAAGACAACAAAAGAGTTTTAAATCAGAATTTTATTAACTGTGGCATTGTATCATGTTTCCCTTTGTTTGTGAAGAGATATAATTGAAGTGATATCTTTCAGATTGTATATGAGTGGTTATAATTGAATTGACCTCTTCTTGTTTCAGATACCCACTGAATGCAAAAAGAAGGAACAACATGGGACGCAGGGTGTCTTACACAGAAGATGACGATGAATTCATTACTCTAGTGGAAGCCTATGTGAACGCCCACCCTGCCATAGGATCACCAGATCAGTGTGGTCATAACTTCACTGGGGGTGCTGTGGCTGGAGCTGAAGTACCCCAGGAGACACATCCAGGAGCCTTAATGGACTATGCATACTATAAACATGGGACTTTCATGGTAAAGATTTAAGAAAGAAATTTTCTGTGATGGGGAAGTGAAAGAGGAATAATTGTATAAAAGTTAGATGTCACTTATGTTTTTTACTTTAAAGAACATGAACATGTGTTAAGTCTGATACTTTCTAAATATTTTACTATTTTATCAAGAATGGCAGTTAATCCAGTTATTTTGTATTTAGCTTTCAGCCCATGTTTCCTGCTGCAAATACCCTCCAGCAAGTGAACTACCCACTCTGTACAGAGATAACCTGGGCTCCATAATGGCACTTCTCAGTAAAGCTTCACAAGGTAGGACATGCTGCGTGCTAAAACCAAGCCTTTGGTTTGGAAATATTAGTCCCCATTTAAACCTCTGTTTACTAGGCCTTCCTTGAACTATAAAGTTTTTTGTTAAGTATGTCTTGACAAATGAAAATTAAGCTTTTTTGTCCTATCTTACAATTGATTACTAAGACTTGAATTTTTCTTTTAGGTGTGAGAGGCAGGATCACTGATGTGAAGAATCAACCCATAAAAGGAGTTGAGCTCAAGATTTTAAACCATGAGCAGAACATCACAGTGTCGGACACAGGAGAATTCTACAGAATGTTTCCAATAGGACAGTTTCATTTGCAAGCTTCAGCACCAGGTATAATAATTACATCACTTCACATTTTACACACATTTTACACACACACACACACACACACACACACACACACACACACACACACTCTTTTTTTTTCAAAATTTAACTGATCTGCTTTTAAGTTATTAATAAAGCTAGTATTTGAAAAATATATTTGTCAATTGCTGTTTTTCTTGTTGCATGAAAAGATGTATGTGGTGAAAACTAACAGTTTAGAGTTATGTTAATATTTTGTAGCTTACGATACTCTGACCAAAAGCACAGATGTTCTTGGTGACTCCATAGCACAGCTGAATTTCCAGATGAGGAAAGAAGTGACTGAGATGTCCTACCACAACTATGATGCTATGGTGAACTTTATGAGGAATATATCATCAACATACCCTCACATCTCAAATATGTACAGGTACTTACTGTCAATAAATATGGAATTACACCAACTTTGTATGTACAGGATGTTACACAAATACAATTAATTGGGCAATTCAAAATATGATGATAGCAGCTCTTTGTGCTTTACCAACATGACTAAAAGGAACACTGGTGATTGTTAGATTTATACTTAGTAATACCAGGTTACCTCCAAGGCACTTATTGCAACTTGCCAGGTTACTATAGGCGACAATAGGCGACAATATTCATATTTTCAAATATTCATTGATATATTACTAAAATATAACAAAGTACGCAAATGTTACATATTATTGGTGAGTTGATCTATTGGCTGATCTATTTACCCAAATAATTCCAGCATTGGGCAGAGTGTTCGTGGCAAAGACTTATGGGTGTTGGAGGTCAGTAGCAACGTGGGAGCGGCTGCCCACAGAAAGGTGCCGATCAGTCTGATAGGAGGTGTCCATGGCAACGAGGCAGTGGGCAAGGAACTATTGCTGGAACTGGCCACTTACCTCTGCAGTCATTACAGACAAGATTATGTCATTACACAGGTACATACATAGAAAGCAGAAGTACTGTCATGAAAGGTTTTTCATGTTCTCTAGATAAGAAGATAAAACAGTGTGTTTCCATCTAGAATATATGGGTCTTGATCATATGAATGGTAATTTTGCACCTGTATGCAACATCCAAAAAACTGGATGCTTTTGTAAATTCTAGTACAATTGTCCATCGTAATTTATAACTGAGATGAACAATCTTTTCCACAATATACATATGTATTAATTTTACATTTTTACCCCTTTTAGCTACTTGAGAACACCCGCATCCACATCCTGCCCTCTCTGAATCCAGATGGCGCCACAGAGGCCACTGTAGGGGACTGTGAAGGAAAGACTGGGGAGTTAAATGCCAATAACGTAGACCTGCTCACCAATTACCCAAGTAAGCTGTTACTTTGATTTGTAATGCAGTGCTTCATTGGAAATAAGTCATAACAGTGCTCACTATTTATGTTGTCCAAAGCCTAGCTGTTTTTACAGTTAATTATAGATAAAGATATGCACTGCAGATATAAATAATGTTTTTTTTTGTGTCAGTGCTAATGAATATTGTTTTAATACTTAAAATTTTTTTAAAATTCTTTTAATTTGATGTGGTATTGTTTCTGTTCACAGTCTCTGACTCCAATAACAGTTTTGTTCTTGAGCCTGAGACCCAGGCAGTGATTGGGTGGATCCACCAGCATTCTTTCCTAATGTCTGTACTGCTGAGAGGAGGAGCACTGGTCACCAGCTTCCCATTCTATGCACCAGCTGATGGTAAGTGATAAATCTATATTTGTCAATATAAATCAAATTTCCATTAAAAATATAGTTACCACTGGACTTGTACTTGACTATTCTTACATTACCATATATTGATGGCACCAGAACTGAGCTTTCCACAGTTTACGTCTGTTCTGTTTATGATAAAATTTATGTTGAAATACTCGCTACAGTGATTTTTTTTTCAAATCACTTGACTGTTGGTATTTTAATTTATTTTAACTTCATTTCTTTCACTCTTCAGATGCCCAGACGGGCCACCCCACTGCTGTGAATGCTGTGTTCCAGCATCTTGCCAGTACCTATGTCAAAAGACATCCCACTATGCAGACAGGTCAATGTGAACACAAGCTGTCTGGACACAGTAAGTACTCATAGTTACTGTTAGTCTTCAGAATTGTACCAGGGTACAGGAATAGGATATTGTAATTAAGAGTGTACTACTCTTTATATTATGTATGCTCTGTATGTTCTTGCAGGCCCAGAATTTAAACAAGGCATAGAGAATGGAGCTGTGTGGCAGCCAGCCACCAACACAATGCAGGTACGACTATTGATGAATTTTGTCTATGGGATTCTAGCATTCATTATATCTTAAAGCATATTTGTATACAAAAAGATTAAGGTGAGGAGCAAATCAGTCTTTTAGGTTTTTAAAACATAGATGCGCAAGTGCTAAATGATTGTATCTGTTACATTAGTGCGATTAAGTATGTAGAAAGTGTTACCTAAATAGTTCTTTTTGGAATTTGCAAATTATTTATTAAAAATTTATGTAACCACATTTTATATAATTGTGCATCACAGTGCATGTATGGTTTCTCTGTTTTATACTTTGGCAATAACTAATGATCTTTACAACCACAAAGTCAAGTACAAGACATCTCAATTTAAGTAATGTAATGAAATTATATTGTTTTATCTCAGGATTTCAGCTACTTAAGTGTAGGCTGCATGCAGCTGACTGTCCATGTGGAGTGTTGTTCTTACCCCAGGGATAATGAACTGGCTCATCTGTGGAGGGCAAATAAGAAATCACTTATTGCAGTGTTGCAGGAGGTATGCAGAGTCATCTGTCATAACAGATTAAAAACACCAAACAAGAATAATTTTAAAAGTTGTACATAATATTGACATCATCATATAAATAGATTGTCAGTTAGGTACTCATAGCATTTAAATACTGTTTTTTATATTTTAACTAATGGCAATAATTTGATTATTCAGGCTTATCAAGGAATCAGAGGTCAGATCTATAGCCACACTGGCTATCCTATAGAGCAAGCAGTTATTGACATTGAGGGAAGCCCCACACAAGCCATCACCAATAAGAATGGTGCATACTGGAAAATGTTACTGCCTGGAACATATACTGTTAAAGTAACTGCAGAGGGATTTGTTTCACAAACCAAGGTTATCATTATTATTATTATTATTATTATTATTATTATAGTTGTTTATTATTTGTTTAAATCAAAATCTTTGATCTTTGGCATTCTCGAAAACATCCACTGCATGTTTACCTGTCATGGGCCCTATAACTTTTGTTATTAAAACATGCTCTCTGTTCTAGGTTGTGAAGGTTGATTCTCAAAGAGCCACTGAAGTTTTATTTGAATTGTCAAAGATTGAAAAGATCATGGGACTCAGAAAAGAAATGTTTGTTGCCTTTATAGGTAAGAAACGGCAATCAGTTAGCATTTGATACAGTAGTTAACAAAGTAGAAGAACCTTAGTTGGTGAGTTTTAAAAGTAAGAAGAGGTATTTATAGTAGACTAATGGAAATTGCCAGGTTTTTAGATCTGTAAAAGGTTTTGCAGGGGCGTATACTTACATTTTACATGGAATATTTTCACTTTCTAGGATTCACAGCTTTTGTGATCGTTATTCTGATCACCATCATGGTCATATACAAAACCTACTGCAACAGCTACTCCTACAGGAAACTCCGACCCAATGATTTCATGGATGAAGATGATGAAGAGCATTTACATGGATACAGTGCTAGGGCTGCCTTGTTACGTAAATCAGAATATCATGATGAGGAAGATGAGTCAGATGAAGAGCACACACTATATGCGTCCAAAGCTTAAATTAAGCATCCTTCATTACCTTACAGTTTTCAAATACATGCACCAAGTGTAGCTGTTACCATCTGTTTTGTATTTGGTATATTTGTAGAGACATACAATGAGTAGACTAATTTAGATTAATGTAGATTAAATAACTGATGTTAATTCCCCCAAAAAAGATCATCAGTAATTCTTTGAAAATCAGATCTAAATCTGAAAAGGTCATAAATTGATGTCTCAATCCATTATTATGATTATTTAAGTTCTAACCATTGCAACACATTCTCAAGTAGATGTTCTCTTACATTCCTTAATATGTTAAGTATGTTATTATGTTAAGGTTAACAAACAATTATATAGATAGCATGAGTAATTGGAATCTTCAGCTTTGTGCATGTATGAAGTTATTTCTTTACTTTTGTTAACTTGCCAGAAATGAGTTTCATTATTATTTTCACTATAACTATCATATTAGATTTAGAGCACTATATATGAAAATATGCACCAAAGAAGAGATATTCAAACTGGCTAAATTGATCAGAGAGGCAAAAGATTTATGTAGAAGTCACTAGTGTTAAGGGCAAACGTGCAGCTGTGCTTGGTTTACTGCCCAGGACTTGGTGATTTTTTTTCTAGTTGTTATACATGGCCTTGTTAACTATGGACACACATTCAATACACTCATACATGCAATCACATCTAATGCACTCCAAATGTAACACGGGTGTCACCTAACACACTAATACCTTACACAGTCCAACAGCAACAAAACCAGCATTAGTATAAGGATAACAACTTCCAAAACGTGACACTCATGCCTCTCATTTTGTGATAGTTGAAAAGGATATTTTTGTACCATTCTATGCAGAGCAATAATGCCTAAGACTCATTTCCTGAAAGATGAAATCTTTCTGGAAATTAGTATGGTTCTTGTTAAAGTCATTTTAAATGTAAATATGTTATATCAGATATTGGATTCATACATTTTGCTGTAATTAAGAGGCTTATGGATGCATATTTAGCTTTAATACAAGGGTAAAACTTTGCCTTAAAGTCGGTCTTCCTTATATGTACAGAGTGGTAAAAAGGTTCAGAATGACATCATAATAATCCAGTAAATGCATTTCAAAATATGAAGATCATGGAAAGTTGTATATTGGTGGGTCCTTAAGTTTTGGTTGAGCTTTTTAAAGTATACCTAAGTTTTGTTAGCAGAGAAACATAGTGTTTTGTGTGGAACCTGCAATTTTGATGGTTTCCTACACTCTTCTGTAGTTTTTGGCGTTATCAGTCAGCATGTCATTAGGGACCTGTTGTATTCTTTGAACATTTTAACAAACCCGAGTGTCAAACAAAGACAATCTTGTTATCACCTGTTATTTCCTATAAGTGGTAATATCTTTGACATTAGGATAATATACTTGCCTTTTCATGTAGAAAAAAATCTCTCATGATATTAATGAACTCTGTTTCTTTTGAGGAATTATGCTGTTTAACTGGTGCTTATTTAGTGGATAGATCTTTGGGTTGTCTTCACTATAGACAGGCATGCTGTTTTATGTTTATGTTGACATATGATTTTGTGTTATGGTTTGTGAATACATCTTGAATGGTGATTTATAATGGGTGAGTGGTCGGATATTAGAAATGTGCAAATATTTTAAATGTTACTGATTGGTTAATGCCATGCAAAATTAACAATAATCTTGGATTTTTTTCTTGAGAATCAATTGTTTATTGTTATGAAAAATCTTTCTGGACATCATCTGTTTCATATGTATGATTTTCAAGACTGTGAGTTAAACTTTAATAAAATATTAATAAAAATGTTTCAGATATTTTGTCATGTTCAGGAGCTTGAAAAAACACTGTTAACCAAGCTATTTTTTTTCTTAAGTGTGTAACACAAAAGTAATTTATGGAATATTTCTGAAAGGTAGGTACACTTTTTTTGTTTTACTTTGATTTGTATTAAGATACTTAGAAATATCAGAAGGAAAGTTCAGCGGCAGGACTTCAATTTTATAAAATGAAGATTTACTGCTATTCAAAAACTGACGGACAAGTAGTAAACCAAAAATCCAGAATACGTGCTGATGATAATATTCTAGCAGTCGAAGGTCAAGGGTGAACAATGTAAACAGGTACCCGGATGCATAGTAAGCCATTTTGAAAATCGGAAGTGGACGGAATCCTACTAGCTTCCAGTTTCCGGCATGTCTATGCGGCCTTAAAAGCGTTATAGCATTGCAGGACCATAACTCACGATATATTTGTAAGTACATATGTAAAAGTATCAATGTGGTAATTATAGCATTGTTGTAAGCTTTGTCTTGTAGGTCTTCACTGCACAGTCGGTGGCGACAGAGCCCTTGCCAAGGACACCCAAGTGAGATCGTGAAGGCAGTGATGTTGTGCTGTGTCAGGTGTCTTGGCGCATTAAATTGTAAAAACGAAAATAAGTTCTATTAGTGTTAGCCTCAGGATGAAGGGCACTTGTGTCAAAACGTCGATTTTTTGTGGAACGTTTCAGTAATTTAAAGTAATCCAGAACCGGTCGGCACTACATCAAATGATTTTCCTGTGCACTTCTGAATAGGCGTGTTGTGTACATTTAACTAGACCAAAGGTTAATTCTCTTGCTGTCCTGTACAGGAATTTTTGTCTGTTATGTTGCACCTGAACCTGTAAGAATAACATGCAGTCAATGGCAAAAGGACCCGCCTTTGATCTGGAACAGAACTTTGATGCAATGCCCTCTGTCTCTCACCTTTGTGTATCCCACACTGCTATGAATTTTTTGCTGCCATTTGGAATGAAATTGCAAATATCTGTTCACTGCACAATTTGCAGTTCACTTCAAACACATTTAAGCCTGGTAGAATTTTACAGGGATGCTCGGGGAAGGGATGATGTAGCTTTCAGTCATCAAGTCCAAGTGTATATTTCAGTGATAACTGAATGATAACAAATGTTTTATTGCTGGCCTTGCCTGGGCTTATATATAAATTTCTGTTTACAGTATATTTTCATTGATAATATGTGCTATAAAGCACATATGTTGGAGACGATTTGGGATCATCATGCACACCTGTGGATATAAACACAATAGGCTTCATACAACCAGTGATTGAAGATAGTAAAATAATAATATTATTAATAATAATGATAAGTGTTATATTGATAACACTATACTTCTGATTGTTTTTGTCAATATGCTCAAAACAGTCATTTTTATGTACAGACACAGATGTGTCTGTACATATAGCCATCATCTGCGTCCTTGTTAAGAATGTTTCTCCTCGTTGAGATTGTGAATATGACTCTTGATAAAGTGTGGAGGGGCTAGGTTCTTGAGACTGATATATTTTAGACTGATGGTATCAAAGGTTCTTGAGGGGGCGTGACAGACACTTAAACTGATTACATTCATTGCACTTTAGCAAGAATCCCCAGAGATAGATCAGTCCTGCTGGTTACAGTTGTACAGTAAACTTCTACTCTGAATGCAGCCTTATGCTAATAGTAAAACCTGCTTATTATACAGTATTTTATCCTGCCTGGTAATTAAAAAAAGCAAGTGATTCAAGCAGCTACCTGTATAATTGATAAAGAATTTATCACAGAAGATTTATAATAAGGCCACAATGATAATATAAGGAAAATGGAAGTAGGTGTATAATTAATGCACAATGACATGTGTTATCAGCCTGACAGCCGGGTTTGTGTTTTTATTTGGATTGGTGATTACAAGATAAGGCCACTTTGGAGTTTTACTTTCTGTTTTGTGTAGTGTACTTCCCTCATTGTATCAGTAGGTCCAATTGGATACCATATTGATTACGATAAATAAATAAAATATGGTAGACATTTGGAGGATAAAAAGCAATTGTCCTGTTAAGCAGCCCTCTCACCTACCCAGCTATAGACTGAGTAAAGTCTAGTTTTATTGCTTCCACTGCCTTAGAATCTCCAAAGAATAAGTCAATAAGTCCATAGCAGTTTTCAAAATTTGGATCAAGCCTTTATCATTTCTGGTTTGGTGATATCCAATTTTGTTGTTCTAATGAACAGTATGTTTCAAATTGAATTATTTTAATTTCCTACACTTGCATATATTTTAGACTGATAAAAAGAGGTGTACAGCCATAGTCTAAATGTATTATGTGAACATTTTGTCTTCTAAACTATTTGAAAATGTAAATTTTAAAAGCACATTTACATTTCATTAACAGGACTGTATAGCAATGCCATTTTAAAGTATATATCATTTGAATACATTTTCTTAATTATTTGTACTTGTCAGTTCAGAACCCAAAGACCTCTTTGAGTGCTCATGAACTAATTTGGGAAACTGTGAATGCTACAAAGCTGTTGAAAAAGAAAATATTTTGGCCAGGGTATCATGTAGCACTGTGTCTCTTGGTTAAAGTAACTGTACCATAAACTTGGACCATTGTAAATAGCTGTGATATCCAGTATCCAGCTCCACTAACCCAGTCACACTACATTAACCTCAGGGAACATAGCGTCAGCTACAGGGACTACACAGCACCTATGGTATATATTGATACATATATGCTGCCTAATATAATGAATTTCATCAGAGGCAGATAGTGTCAGATGACATATATATAGCCATACATTTCATTATGAATGATGCAGTGCCCAGTGATATCACCCATGTATATGTATAAAAAAAAACAAACTATTTCTTGAGGCCCACCCTGTCTTGTTTATACTTGGATGCTCACATTCACAGTTTGTCATATTGTCACAGTGAAGAAAACCACACTTTATATTCTGGATGGAATGCACCACTAGCCAAGCCCTATGGTCAAGCAAATTGATCACATAGTTAAATAGTGCTGACACTACATAATGTTGAGACTGTCCGTCCAAGATCCAATGTCTGTCGAGTGACACAAAGATACTGAATGCATGAAACAGTCATTGAAATAATGTCCACCCCCCTCTCATATTTGATATATTGTAACTAGGATGGCAAAACTGATAAACAAATAGATCAAATTTTCACCCATTTTTCTTGCTCTGCAGACCAGGCTGAGACTATGAGAGACTAGGTATATGTCAACACAATAACTGATACAGTGTTGAAGCATCAAGTTGACCCTAGCTTGCTGGTCTTTCCTAGCCCCTGGGCACTGTGATGATATTTATGGACAGCATTCCATGTGGCAGGTTGTGATACAGAGTAGTAATAGCTTATCACTGTTTAAACTAGGGTAGGACAGGTCGGACAAATACATCACAGTGAATCACCAGTGTGTTATGGCTAAAGGTATCTAGAGCAAATGAGAGCAAGGTATTTTGAATTTTTATGGACCCAGTGCATAAATATTTGGTCTTAAATTATGTCCATAAAGGTTATCTTTTAGAGCTTAGAATTATAAACATTGTTCTACATTAAAAACAAATCTCCATTGATGTGTCACCGTCAAGGGTTCATTTAGCATTTTGCCAAATTCTTTAGTAAGGCCTGATATTGATTTTGACATTTAGAAGAATGGTACTTATTAAGTGGAGTATGCTCCTGTGCTGTCTGAGTGCAAACAGTAACACAGTCGGTGAAGTGGTGTCTCTTCATATTGAACATTTACTACCAGCTCTGGTTCACAGAATAGCCCTGACATCACTGTAGTAGTGTGTATTAAATAGAGAATTATTATGATTAAAGGGATAATAACTCTTCGTTTTGGCCAAAAAATGAATTTTCCTGGAGTAAACAACAATTTTCCCATACTTACTAATGGTTAATGAATCCATTTTTACATTCAAAGTTAGTCCCTGGTTTTTTTCTAAAAAGTTTGGATTTTTGTTAAAATCTCTTAAGAGATTATAACAGAGTATAACCATCAATGGAGGTCACGTGATCTGAAGACAAGCTTAGATATCAGAATAATAGCTATAACTGCTGTTTTCATCGTAAAACAGAATATATCATATTTCTATGAGTTATTCACAATGTTTTTATTGTGAAATATAGATTTCATACGAAGAGTTATTATCCCTTTAATTGATATTTCAAAAGATGTAAAAGCTTTGTGACATTTTTTCAGCACTTCAGCACTATTTTGTTATAAGTTTGTAATTGTTGATTTTTTTGTCCGTTTCAGGTAATTTAGCACCCTGTAGTCATGTTTAGTTTCCGCAAGAAAGACAAGGAGAAAGACAAGGAAGAGAAGGAAAGAAAAAAGAGGGAGAAAAAAGAAAAGAAGGAACTGAAAAAGAAACATGAAAAAGAAAAAGAACCAATGACCCAAGAGGAATTAGAAAGACTAGAAGATGTAAAGAAAGGATTATTTCGTAGGACAAGTGATAAAAGGTCCTCAAAACATGCTCAAGAGGAGAGCCATAGGGGTGCCCCAATGAAAGAGAGGGAGTCCCCACAGGGAACAAGTGACAGCAACTCCAGTCTTAGCTCGGCTGGCAGGTCGAGTTTCACTGAAAAAGATGCAGGAGGAATTAGTCCAAGAAATGGAGAACCCCCAAAGAAACACCCAAAAATTCCACCAAAAGTTCCACATAAGCCAGCAAAGGGTATCCTGAAAGGAAAATCCAGCTATGGGCCAGAAATCCCAAATCACGGTGTCACTGGTAAACCAGACGACTCTCTAACTGTGACTTCCAACACTATATATAATCTGCAAATGTCAGGGCAGTTGCCAAAGAAAGGGGTGACCGAGGAAAAAATCGAACCAACTTATGAAAATTGCAACCTGGCTGCAGCTGCTCTTCCAAAAGGCAGACACCATGACGAGGTGGACTCCGCCATTCCTCCAACTATCCAGGAGGAGCCACAGATCAACAGCAGGGAGAAGTCTTATGATATTGACTTGAGACTTCCCGCCCTGAGTCCCCCTAAGCCACCACGTGTGAGGGAGGTGGTGCTCAAAAGACAGCCCGCTGGAGACTTTGGTTTCACCCTGCGGCGCGGGACCATGCTACTCAGGGGGTTTGGGGACCCTGGAACACCCCTGAAGAAAAATGTCATCTTTGCCGAGCCAGGGGGGAAACATGCCCACACAGGTTTACTCCCCGGGGACCGCCTGGTGCAAGTGAATGGAGTAAATGTGGAGGATGCCAGTCGAGAGGAGATAATTGATATGATCAAGAAGTCAGGAGATGCCGTGGTGCTCCATGTGCAGCCCATCCCTGAGCTGAGCGAGCTGAGCCGGAGATCAGGGCTTGATGGAGTGGATGTCAACCTCGGGGACAAGAATGTGAAAGCTGGCAGTCTGCAGAGGAGTGGGAGTGTGCGGTATAAGAAAACCACAGTAAGTACTACAGTTTTTGATTGGTTTACTGAAGACATTCCTGGCTTGATTGCTTTGTAACATGCACGGGTTATGAGGTGCTGAGGTCCATAGACAGGTTTGTGTCTGGTTTGAAGATTGAAACAGTGTTGCCATATACACGCATAGTATACAGTGATGAAAGATTGCAGTGTCTAGTCTTCAGACAGTTCTGTACTGTACCTTATCTATACTGTCTGATACATTTATTGTTGAGGTGAAATAAGCTTTATTTTCAGTAAAACAGGGGACAAGTTTTCAGTTCCCTTGCTGCAGTCGTTTGCCAACTGTGTAGACACCAGATCCTAATGACTTTCCACACTGCCTGCTGCTTCAGCTAAACATACAGCTAAATTAACAGGCCCAGTTTTCCAGTAGTCAGAGCACTGGTCTGTGTTCAATTTCTTGTGCTTTTTTTCTGTGAAATGTTTGTCTTTTATTTCCTGCGTCTGGGACTGTAATAGGAAAGCAGTCTGCAGAGCCCATATATATCTAAAAGTGGCAGCTCTGACATAAGCGTGCTTCATATTATTGATTTTGTGAATAATTTACTCGGGAGGGTTGTAATTATGAATTTGATTCTTAACCACAAAGCAGTCCTTGATATAAGTGCTGGCTTACAGTGATGATGATGGGTGTCCGTAATATTCATTTTATCATCAGCAACATATCTTTTGTTGATTGTTATCTAACTCATTGTCACAGTAAACTTGGTAAATTTAAGTATGAGGACAGGGGGATAGATTTAGCACACTTATTTGAATTGTTGTTTTGGCAATTAGAAATTGTTCAAATTTTATTTATTTTAAATTTCCAAGAACATAAATGTTTCTGCAACATGTTTACAGAATAGAAATATGTAATATGCAGTCACAACACTTTTGTAGCAGTGTATTCTTTGTTAAAGCTATGACACTGTGGTTGGAAGTGCTTCTAGATTTGACAGATAAGCTACTGAGTAATCGCCCAGTGCTGGCAGTCTCTCTGTGGTTTCTAAGTGAAGAGGATGCTAGTTCTCTGTTTACAAGTCAAAAGACTAGACCTGGATGTAATTTGTCTCCTTCATGCATTAGTTTAGCTGTATTTCTGGCTTTCAATGATATGCTCCCTCCCAGTGTTCTATGAGTCATACATGATTTTAAAACCAGACTTCCATCAAACATAATTGAAAATCTGCATCAAAGATTCTGATGCATTGATTTCATCTTGTATGTGTGTCATGAATACCATTCTAGCACCTGGCTCTTCCAAGTCTTTGTATTATTCCCCCATAAAGATAATCTCTTAGGGGCCATCTTGGTATTTAATCACTGATAATGATTGAATAAGAGGTAGACAAAGGGATTAATTGCCTGATGAGCAGGATAATTTGCATACTGGGAATATTGATTGTCATAAAATACACAGATGCACCTGGTTCCTGGTTTTTGTATGACACTGTTAGTTGTCATGGCCCATTATATAGCCATATATCAGGGTTTATTGATATTCATTGATGTTTGCCCTTGTATGAAAAAGGCAGTTTTAGGAAAATGTCATAACCTCAGTGTATGGTATTGGAATCGCTGTACATGTTGTGCCTAAGAAGTCTGTATTCAATTAGCAAGGGAACAAGCTTTGAAGTTTTTTTATCGGCTACAGAAATGCTATTGGAATGACGTTTATGAATCCCAAAAAGAAAATGTATTTCTGTTCCACCAAAAGTTCCCATTACATGTTCATGTATCAGCCTAACCAGCTGTTAGTATCTAGCAGTCCACACAGGTTGTTGATACTGTGTTGAAGAATGTATTAATTACCACTTTGGTATACATAGTAGGTGCTGATCCTTGCCGCTGACCTTGTGGTGCTCACTCCTTAGAGTTAGCATGCTGATGCCTGGATGGAGGAAACTTGGTATGCAGCTAGGGATGACCACTTGACCAAGTGACTAGGGTTGATCACTGGTTATTTTGGTGGTCAGCAGGCTGCTTACAAACAAGTGTCTTTGGTTGATAGGTGCATGACCCTATCATTTAACAGGGGGCCTGGAGAAGCAAAGTGGCCTGTTGTATTTTTTGGGTGAAAATGCAATTTTTTTTCCACAGCAAACTGAAACTTTTTCTAAAGTATAAAAAAAAAAAAGAAAAGAAAAAAACAAACTATGGCATATTTCTGAAAATGTTCAACAGAAGAAAAATACTTGCCAAGCAGATTTCATCTTTTTTAAATTTACTTATTTTACAGTGAAAAGTGTAAACATGGTAAGGTGTGGCATTAAAATATGACATGTGTGTCTTATAGTTCAAACAGTTTTGACTCGAGCTAAGTCTTGCATACAAATTAGTTGCCCAACAAAATGCTTTGGATCAGGAATTAGACTCATTAAAAATTTTGGTCATTACTGTTTTCAAGTGTCATTTTAGATTCATTTTGTCCATGCAATAAATGTGCTAGGTTTTGTATCATGTTTTACATTTGTAAGGGGTACAGTCTTAAAGTGCCGTCCTTTAACACACCTAAGTCCTTGTGTCATGATATGTTTTCACCTTTCTGACTGAAATATTTCACATTTGGCTTAAGGATATTTTGATGCAGCTCTTTCTTTATATTGAATACCCGTGAACTTGTAGAAGTGATGTCTGTTATTTGGGGCTGTACAGTAGTTGTGAAGAAATAGATTTTATCAAAGAATGTAACTTTTGAAGGTATGATTTCAGAAGGAGGATCAGTTAGAGGTCTCATTATCTCTTCTTTCAAAGGCAGAAAGCATCTTGGGGGGGGGGGGGGAGAGTGCCTAAGGTCATGGTGCTTCCTCACTGTCACTCACCAGCAAATCTCTTGTCAAAACCATACTCACTTTGTATCTCATTAGCTCATAAATTTGCCCTTATCTTTCGAGCGTGCTCCAAGACATCTTTTTGCTATTAATTTCCTTATCCCTCTCTCCATAACATTGACTAACACTCATTATGACAGTTTTCTAGATATGATACCTGCTAATGGGTGGTGTGCATATACCACATTCCCTTTCTTTCCTGTGTACATGTGTGTGTATGGATATAATAAGTCATATCATATGACATATCATGGCTGATTTTTGCCCCTTCAGAAAGAAAGGTGAAAGCCTGTCAACTGATACTTTCATATCTGTCACAAATTATGGTACCAGAAGCCCCAAAGCTGTGTTGATACTGTAGATATAGGAATGAACTTCTAGCTTTGTCAACATACTCATTGTACAATGGTTTTGATCAGTGCAGGTTTTTGTCATACATTAAATAAAAGAAGTGATGCATACTAGGAATGTGGCAGCCTAGCAGCTTATTTTAAAATGGTATTTGTACCTGTCACCCAACCAAAAAAAAAAGCGCTTGGTGATATCAGTGTTAGACATGGCTTTTTGACAAATGGGTGCTATGTTGACCCCCTCCCTAAATTTCTTCATGCCTGTATTAATTTGCTGCATGGGAGATTCACTCACAGTATGTTATATTGTGCATAATTATCCTTTAATATTCAGTAACATTGAAAAAATGTATGCTTGGTGCGCATGGCTTGTTTATTTCTTCCAAGATTTATTTATTTATTTATGTAAAAGATCACAATATTGATGTTTACCTCAGAAAGATGGAGGGTGTTTTTCATAGGTTTCTGCATCAGTTTACTGCAACACATATCTAAATATTTTACAGTATCGGGTTGTTTATGTGTCCATGATGTTTATTTTTGCATCTTTCTCCATGTATGAACATATTGAGCTCAGGTGTAGATTACCATCCACCAGGACCACAGAGAGGCTGTTTTCACTAGTTATTCACAAATATTTCCCTGGCTATTTCTGTGAACATTTTTCTGTCCGAAGAGAATCTTTGAACAGAATTTTAGAAATGATGCCGTTGCCCCGCTGGCTTTTGATGAAGAAAGGCTGGAGATTGTAAATACAGCATAAATGTGCTCCAGACAATCACTGTGAACAAGGAACAATGTTCCTGTATTAAACATGAGATATCCATGTCCATTTTATGTCCCATCAAATGTCAGTTTGCCAGGATTTATAGGTCTATACAGAATGTGTCCTCTGCAATACACAAACGTTATACTGCTGAACATCAACAATTTGACAAATTTAATGACCTCTAGTGTGAGGCTCTGAATATACCTTTTGGTTATTGGTCTCCTTTTTTTGTGCAAGTACTGTAACACATTAGTTTACAGTCCAAGTTAACTGGTTCCCTGGCCCTGGGGGCCCTGCACTTGATACAGCTTACCTCACTCACAGCAAACACAGGTGTAACAGGATGACCCTCCCATATTGTACCAGTGACTGATAGATATGTTGCTTTACTGGTCCAGGTTGTTCATCAATGCCCTGAACATGGATTTCCATCTTTCTTTACTGGTACTTTGTGCTATCCAGCATGCTACATTAATGGGGGCCCTGTGCGCATTTTTGCTGTGGACTGTTAATGGGAGATCAGGTTTCCCAGGTGATGCCCCGCCCTGTTGTGGAACATCTTCCTGGTTAAAGGTGTTCTACAACCTCTGTGGATGCTGCAGACTGCAGCGTAATGTTTTGGTAGAGGTGGTGAGAGTTATGAAGTTGCAAACTAGGTAGCCTTCCTTGAACTCTTGGTGTGCAACAAAACTGTACCACCTGGTGCCCTGTGAGTCAAGGAGAGAGTTTACATAAGACATTTCCCATTGAGTTGATCCACCGTGTTTTAAGTTGCTCTTAATTCGCCAGACTGCTCACCTTTCAGGGTGGCACACAGTGTCTGTAACTTATGCTACATTTCCAATGGGAACATGGTAACATCTTTCCTGCCATATGTGCATTGGCAGACTTGGGATTTTTATAAAGAATGATTGGGCACAAAAGCCTTTCTCCACCCCCACCCCACCCCCATGTCAGGCTCTGCTTATGATATACCCACCAATAATCTATCAAAGGGTTTCTTGCTTTCAGTTTATTGTTTAAAAACTTGGGTAAATTCAGTTCCCCCTCCTTTCTAAAAAAATCTTTTCAAATGAGTGATTATCAGCCACCAGCAAATAATAAGACTGCAGCCTCCCTTATATTTTACTTCTTTAAGACAAACAGATGTTCCAACTGTTACTTGGGTATCTATTAATCTGTTTGATGTCTCTCTCTGCCCTGTGTAACCACAGACTTGTGGCAGTCATTTTTATGTACACCAATTACACAGAGGGTGGCATACATTATGTGGGGGATAGAAAAATTTAAAATGTGAACCTCGGGTGAAAGTGATGCATTAAATGATTAATTACTATTAAATTGATCTCATGGAATTTTTTAAGAAATGAAACCCAAATTACAGCTTGTATGTGGAGAAGTCACAGTTGCTGTGGGGCCCATTATGTTGGCTTTGTGTTAAACCTAGCCAATGAACTGTGAACACTGTTTGCTTTAAAAACAAATTACAACAGATTGCACTATAAACAAGGGTGCGTTAATTTTCACTATCCATTTACCTATGAAATTATAGGCATCATTGAATTTGTGAAAAATTGTCCTAGGTGCTCAGTCATTCAAAGTTATTTTGCCCATGCTATGCAAACAACCAGGTTTTGTTATTTGAAAACCCCAGGGTGGCAGGGTCACAAGCTACAGTACCTCAGGGTCACAAGCCACAATACCCCGGGGTCACAAGCCACAATACCCCAGGGTCAGTAGTGCAAAGCAAAGTGAAAGGGTATCAGTGCAGAGGTTGGTATAAATATTGATAGTTGACTTCTGCCTGAGCTGGCTTAGGCTCTGGCTGCACCTAAGAACACATTGGAGCTGGGTTGTCTGGTAACACTGATATGAGGCTAATGTACCATAAGTGCAGTAAGTTATTACATCATTTATTTTCATATCACAATACCTGAAGTGGCTTTGTAGAGGATTAGGTTGGTGGCAGTTTACTGTTAATGCATAATGTGTATTGTGGATAAGGGGCACCTTGTGCATAGCTGTATTAGTAAATACAACTTATTTCTTTGCCACAAAATATTTTTGTTTCTATGCTGCTGGCAGTTTGACCTTGTAGCAGGTTGCTACCAAGTTGCTACCATGTTGTCTGCAGAGAGTAAATAAAACCCATAAATATGATATATTGACTGTCTGAGTGTTTGGTTGGGAAAGGCTTGTCTTGCACANAACTGGAAGATTAAAAGTTTGAATAGCATCTTCATTGGAATTATATTTACCTCAAGCTCTGCCAAGGGGGTTATATTTTCACCCCTGTTTGTCTGTCATCCACATAACACAAAAAGTTATGGACCAATTTTGCAGAAATTTTCAGGAACTGTCGGAAGTGGGCCAAAGAGGACAATGATTAATTTTTGGTGGTGGTCCGGATCAATAATCAATCAATTATCAATAATAATCAACAATTGCTGCCTTGGCAGAGGTCTGCACTCTCAAAGTGCTTTTCTAGTTTTGTTGTTTTCCTTTATAATTTTTTCTCAAACACTTGCATTTGTAACTCTCATCTGCCTGGGGCTCTGCACATTTTCTGTATTTCTACATAAGCAGTTGTATTGTTTTTTATGTCTTTAAATATTATGTAATATTATTTTATGCACTGTCATCATTTTTCAAATATTGAGACTTTCATAATGTGAATTTGAACTCTCATGGTCCTGAAACTGTAATCTTATTGAAGGGGTGGATTGAGACCATCTTCTGGGTCTTCCGGAAGACAGTCAGGTTATTAAGTTTACATTGACTGGTATCTATTTTTTTCTGTTGGAAGACCATCAAAATGGAGGATGGATCAACATAGATACTTTGTAATACTGTCAGAAAATATCTCTGGGTCTGCTCCTGTTATTGACCATGTTACCTGTTGTGCAAGAGTAAAATTCAGTGTTGACTGACAGTGCTATTATAAGCATTATTTATTATTGCATCAAAATTGACAAAATGACCTTTTTTGCATCTTTATTTTCTGTTTTTTGTCTGTACATTTGACAGCTTTGCTGCCTTGTTTCTGTAAAGATATTACAAAAATTAGCATTATTATGTGAACAACTTAAGATTTTTACAACATTAAACTTGAGATGTTAACAATAGATAGATTTCACTTCAGTCTTTTTAATTTACTTCATGCTCTGTCATGGGATTCTGTCCAACTAAATAGTTCTCACACCTTATGACAAGTTTACTCTGTGTGTCTTCAGGTTATTCAGATGTTCCGAGGTTGTAAACAGGAAGACATGCCTCCACATGTGTATGCATCGGCTCAGATTGCGTATCGCAAGATGCAGACGACGGGCATTGACCAGTCGATTGTATTTGTGGGGAGGAGTGGCAGTGGGAAGACCACCAATGCTAAGCATGTGCTACACTATTTAGTGACAGCCGCAGGCAGCATCAATAATGTAGTCACAGGTAAGCAGGACAAAGATGAGTAATGATTTGAAATAATTATGTCACTTTTTGGAAACAATTTTTTTCAGGATATATAGGTAAGCTTAGTACAGGTAAGTAGAATGATTTCAGGGAGTATTGTTAAATTTAGTTGTAAAGTGGCAATTTTGACATAAATGTATATGTATGATAAATCAATCATGATGTCCAGTATAGTTTTGTTACCTGTAAGGTTTGAAGTAGCAAAAATTATATCATTTTAGTGGACAAAATCAATGCGGCCTCCATCCTGCTAGAGGGATTTGGTAACAGTAAAACTATCATGAACACTAATGCCACACGCTACTCACAGATGACCTCTCTGGACTTTGATGTGTCTGGCCAGGTAGCAGCAGCCTCTATACAGGTAAGTGGACACAAAGATGACCTAACAAATAAAGAAAATACTATTACCATTTTATTTTTCTGTGTCTGTATGTTTTTTTCTGAGTTAGCAAGCAAGTACAATAATAGCAGTATAAATTTAAAAGGTTTTGCAAAGTGTTGTTGAGGTTATATGCAGTTTTACAATTTCCAGGTTTTGCTGCCAGAACGCTCTCGTGTTGTGAGAAGACCAGAAGGAGAGCCAACCTTCCACATCTTCTACCAGATGATTGCTGGGGTGGATGGGATGTTAAGGTGGGTCAACAAGACAAGACAGGATAATTCATACCATTCATTCTCTCTCCTCCCTCTGTCCCTCCCCCCATTCCCACTCCTTTTTGAAAATGTATCCTTGCACAGACTCAGTATAAAATGTTAATGTCAGACTGATGTTGTTTTAGACATGACAGTGCGCTATATATTTTATGGTTTGTTTTGTGTTGTGTTTTAGGAGTGAACTTCATCTCCAGAACCTTGAGGAATACAACATTTTCATGACTCCACTGCAGAGGGTAGGTAACAAAATTGCATTCCAGCACAAAAATAACTTTTTAGTTTTGCCTTATTAGAGATTGGTTTTAGTACTTTTACATTAAACTTCTAATGTGCATTTTATCAAGTTTTGTTTACAAGAAAAGACGGATTTGTTTAGTTTCCAACCTTTTTCGTGTGTGACTAATCACTTAATGTTAGAAATTGCTATCTTGGTTACATAAGACTTCTTTTGAGTCTAAATATTATCCCAATTCTACCTACCCTGCAGACTGAAGACCAGCAGAAAGCCACACAGCACTGGGCAAAGATTCTCCAGGCCATGCACATTCTGGCATTTAGTGAGGCTGAGTCCAAAGCCATCTTCAGTGTGCTAGCTGCCATATACCACCTGGGAGTGGCTGGGGCTATGAAAGGTAAACTATCCATACTGAGGATTACAACAAAGATAGAAGACATTAGTTAAACTTTTTTTATGCACAAATGATTCATGGCAAAGGAATAAAGTTATCTTTTATTAAGTAGATAAAAAAATACCTACCTTCACAATTTGATAACTCAACAGTCATCCATGGTAGCTTAACTTCATGCTACTAACACTTCTTTATAGTATTGCCTGTTGTACATAAACAGGGGCGTAACCAGACCTTTTAAAATTGTACGCACAGATTTTGAAAATTCCCAGGTACGATTATAAATTATATAAAAATACACTGAATTTATGGAGAATGATATCATGGTTGGCTCAAAAAATTGTACGCACAGTGCATCCGTGCGTATGCCTGGTTACGCCCCTGCATAAATGTTTAGACACGGTGGTTTATTGAATACTATATCTCTGTGTTATAGGTGTAAACAACCGGCACCACTTTGCCAAGCCAGCCTCAGCCCAGAAGGCTGCCAGTTTACTGGGGACCACAGTGGAGGAGCTGTCCAGGAATATCTTCAGTCCTTCCACTGGTTCTCTCCCTAGGGCATCCTTCAGGTGAGGAACACCACAGTATGGCCTGGACACATTCTGGCTATAGGCCTGTTTTAATAGTTCAGTTGAAATGTTTCCATTCTATACAGGTAATCATCAGATAATGATTTTAACTAAACCAACTGGATTGAAACTCTGGAAAATATATTATTTAAAATGAAAATACTTAATATAGGCTAAACTTGAATGAAAGGCTTGTCAACATGTCAAGAATTGGATTTCGTTTAGACATATATTATATTATATTATAGTTGTCAAGTTCAACTTCACATACCTATACCTATATTGTTATATTTCAGAGCGTCCCCAGTTGGAGAGAGGAGTGGAGACATCACAGTGTCAGCCCTGGAGGCCTTGGAGGGTTTTGTTATAGGATTGTATGCTGAGGCCTTTAATGCTGTGGTCTCCCTCATCAACAGGCATGTTGTATTAGACAGTTTGTAGTATACTGGTGACATTTTGTTAATATGGTTATGGATCAATAAATTAGACAGCATGAAGAAATAATTTTCCTTAAAGATTTTATCAGTATTTTTTCAAAATTTGTATTCAAAAGTTTTGGAAAGTTAGTTGGCTTTACGTTGGAAAGGACACTTCTGAGTGTTAGCTGAGAATGATAAATCTTTAAAAAATACTATATAAGAAAAAAGTTCAATGTTCAAAAATTATACATAAATTCCAAAAATATGCTAAAGAAAATGCTGGATGAAGGTGGCACAAGACCATGAATACAGTTTCTAGTATTTGTAACCCACAAGCCTTGTTCATACTAAAATGCTGGTGGTATTTGTTCCAGGTCCCTGTCCTCCAATTACCGTACCCGTACCTCCATCACCATCCTGGATACCCCGGGGTTCCAGGTGCCTGCCAGCTGTGGGAGGCAGACAGGTGCTACATTTGAAGAACTGTGCCATAACTACATACAAGAGAGGCTACAACTGCTGTTCCATGACAACACCTTCACCTCCCAGCAGGACAGGTTTGCTCAAGTAAGTGTCATGGGTTACACGGGGTGCTCTGGATGACATTGTTACCCTGTGTTTGTCAAAATTTATCTGTCCTATTGTCATTTCGTTGTACTTAGTACCATTGTGTTATTATTATTATTATGCATGGTTTTAATATGCCAATTATGTCTAACCTTCCTTTACTGAATGGAGTTATGCCTTATGTTTTACAGGAACACGTAGACTTAATATTTTATATAGTGTGTTAATGTAAAAATTGAGTATCATCCCACTGTCATTTCATTGTACTTATCATCATTGTGTTATAGATAAGTGAGCATGTCTTCTTAAAGCAAAATTAAAATATGCCAGTTATTTCTAACCTGTGTTTTACTGAATCAGTGAAATTATTCCTTATGCTTTACAGGAAAACATAGACTGTGACTTTGATGCCATGTCCTCAGCCAATCCTGCAGCTCTGGTGGAAGCAATAGACAGGCAGTCCACCCAGAGTATGGTAAGTACACACAGGAAGTAAGTACTCATAGTGGAGTTTGCCATTGCAGGAAATGGACCTATGAAAGATGTGTTTTTCTTTTAAAAAATGTTTTAATGAATGGTTCACCAATAATTAAGTTACCGCAATAGTGAAAAAAATGTTTTAATGAATGGTTCACCAATGGTTAAGTTACCGCAATAGTGAAAAATGTAGAAAGAAAAAAAATTATGGAAACTTTTTCCTTTAGTTTTAGAGAAACATCTTTTTTTTTTCTATTTATGTGAAGGTTCAGCATTTTGGCATTTTTTGTCCTTAAAACATGAGGCTACTTTTAATCATAGCATGTAATACTACATGAAAAAAGTTGAATGTTTTGCCTAAAATGTTTCATTGCTATTGATATTTTGTTTCCCAACAGGTGCGAGCCTCTAATAATGATCTACGTGACTATGAGCAGCGCGGACTGCTGTGGCTGCTGGATGAAGAAGCCATCTTTCCCGGCGCCACAGACGACTCCTTCATGGAGAGGCTTCTCATGCATCACGGAGAAGGACAAGAGAAACGTAAGGAAAATGTTACAGCTGTTTCCACTTACAGTCCTCGCCTAGTTCATGATAAAACGTCTTCACAGCTGTCACAAATTGAGGACATTCAGTTAGTTATAGCTATAGATTAGGACATTTTTATTTGTTATTATTTGTTACTTACATCATACATCTGTCTAGAGAAGCACTTAGTTATGATGTAGTAGTTTTTGGATAGACTACAAATCAAATGATGAAAATAACTAGGTAGTCTGTAGAAATGATTTAATTTAAGTACTCTCCCACTTTGTGGCTATGGGTGTCCTATGATAGAACTGTATGTTGTGTTTACACAGGGAAAAAGAGACGAACATCTGGTAAGTTTGAAGACTGATCATGATTTGCATCATTGCATGGATTGCTTTACTAACTCACACACACTTACTGCATGTAATGATGTCACAGTATGGCATAACTATAAACACTGTCAATCTTGGAATCTAGCTATTTGATATGACTGTAGAACTAACTTATAGCATTGTAGTCATTCCCATCCTGACATTTTGTTTGGTGATTGTGATTTGTGATGCAGTTTGATAGGCACCTATATATTAACTGCTAACTCTGTGCTTTGCTTATATTGTATTTGATATAAACAGTTGGCTATTTCACATGGGAAGATTACACCAAAGGCATGTTACTGTTGTGACAGCAGCAGTTGTGTGACTGACTGCTGTGATACTACTGCGCTAATAATGACTATGGAGTGTTGTGATGTTGCTGTCACAATACTTTGATAGAGTGTTGTACAATGATCCAGTGGAAGTTGCCTGATGAAGTGCCTTCTTCTTTCAGTTCTTTATCATTTTCCAGCTTTTTGTGCCATTTAAAAACATGATATGCTTTTCTAGATTGCAGTGCATTTATAGTGTACATATATACATACCAAGTTATTTCTTATACAAAGGCATGTTATGTTGTTTGTGGTCAGAGTGCATTATTTACCCTTGTGTGTATTATGCTTTGATCTTTATTTGGATATTGAAAAATCGAGTTTGTTCTTTGATACAATATAGCTTAGTATTACAAGTAAGACATATTGAGCCTTGGGATACTGAGGAAGAAAAGCTGATGCTGATATCTTTTTATATATTGTTTGTTTTCAGTATGGTAGCAATTATATTTCATGTTATTTAATTCGAGACTTGCTTCGGAAAATCAGTATCCTCAACTTTTAACCATAAATGATAAAATTATTCTCACATAAGTTGAAAAATGCATAGCACTATGTTGCTGCCGTAAGAAGTCAGTTTCAACAAAGTTTCGAATTACATTATCTTCATATGTCATTATTTAAACCATATCACACTGAAGTGCCTGAAGTCACTATCCCAACAAACACATCCAGAACACAGTCATGTTGTATGCTACAGGTTTATTGTCACAGGCTTATCTCTGGCACATTTGTCACCAGCACTGTTACACCCATATCCATTCTCTAAACTTCTTTACTGACCCTGACATCTCCTCTGTCTGTGTTATTTCAGCCATGACTGACCACCTGCTGACCAAGGGTTCAGCTAACAACAGTTTTGTCCTGCAGCACATGAGGGGCACCACTCCAGTCCAGTATAACACCACAGGCTGGCTCAGGGTGTGCAGGGAGAACCCCGTCACCAAGATGGCCAGCCAGGTGCTTCTGGACTCACAACAGTATGTATCACACCAGGGACTGGGAATGTTGGTTTTGTATTCACCAGAAATAAAGTGAATTGTGTGTGTATTATACCCATAATGGGAATGATGAAAAGAGTATGAAGTTTGAAGAAGATATGACATAAAAGTGAAAGTTTTACAGATTTTTGTTTTCTTGTGTGTGTATGTTGGGGATGTCAGAATGAGTAGAGGGGTTGAATGAGTTGAAAAAGTTAAGAGTGAAAGACTTGGCAGGGTTTTTGATTTTGTAGATTTTGGGAAAAAATTCTGTACATAACTTGAATTTTCTTTGAAATAATTGTACAATTGATGATTTATGAGATTGTTGCCCCATTAATTTTTTTCTTATTTTTGCTAATCTGAGAAGTTAATGTATATTGTGAGCTGGTCTAGCTGATAAGCTATTTCAAGTAGCATACATGGATTGTTAACCCAATATATTTTTCTCTTCTTTCAGACCTAATATCACCCAGCTATTCTCCACCATTCGTGGCCCCATCTCCACAGTGATCACAGGTTCTGTGGCTGGGATAGAGGGCAGCACTGCACTGCGTAGAGTGTCCAGCATCAGGCGTGGCTATGTCAGTGGAACAGCAGGACTCAAAAGAAAATCCGTCTGCTTGCAAGTTAAATTTCAAGCGGTAAGGCAAAATGCAGGCATTGGTTATCATGTCTTACAAATAGTATTGTTGACTGTATATTGAAAGATTTCTGAATAATAGCTGTTTTTTTATGTTAAAATTCTTGTGATTTGTTATTTAGCATCTGAATAGATTTTCAGCAGCAGATACTTTAATTTGTCATATAGTGTAAAAAAAAATGTTTTGTTATTGAAATCACCCTTAAAACACGTCAGGATATAGAGTGCTCTTCATATTATATCATACGTTTTTCATGTCACCTCCAGGACTCTGTGATTGAAACCATACGCCGCAGCCAGCTCCATTTTATCCACTGTATCTTGCCCCACGCCCAGGCTGGCCTGTGTGAGCAGAAATCCTCCCTTCTATTGCCAAATAAAAACTCCACTGCTGAGGACTCCATGTTAGATGTGCCATTAGTGAGAGCCCAGATCAGAGGCTCAGAGATATTAGAAGCTGTCAGGATACACAGACAAGGTAGAGATATGGATGAGATGAATTTATCAAAATACATGAGCATTTAAATGAAAATTTTGATTGAGAATATTGATGGTGAAAAAAGGACCTGTCAAGTGTTGTATGGAGTTTTTAGGCTTGGGTTCATTGTTAGAGTGGTGTAAAAATTCACAAATTTATAAAATAGACAATTAAAAAAAAAGTATATACGTAAAGTTGTGGTGTCATAGAATACACAGGCAGAATAATACTGTATACACATTGGTCTTTTCAACAGGTTTCCCTGACCATATGCTGTTTGCCGAGTTCCACAAGAGATTTGAGGTGTTACTGCCCCCTGAAATGAGACCCAATGGACCCACAGTAGATGAGAAACAGGTAGGAGGCCCTTCTACCATGAAATTTTTCTCTTTTTTTATATGGTCTTGTATTTATTTTAATATTTTGACTTCAAGTGTGCAGTACAAAATCCATGATATTAGATTTTGGTGTATTAGTTTGAAGTATTTAATAATTCCTGTTATCCTTAAAAGTAGTGGATGATGTCAATAAATTTTAAAATTTTTAAGTTTCCATAATATTAAAACATTAAGTCCTTTGTCATTATCACGCTGTCATTTACTACCGTGTACAAGCCACTGTATATCATGTTAGTAGAATATGTTGTCCTCAGTGTGTTGATGTGATTGAGGTGTAACCACAAACCATATGCCCTCACACCAGCTGGAATCATCAATATTGCCGTTCACACATGTTCACAAGCTTGTTTATATGTCAGAAACCACTGTGTGTTCTGGTCATTTCACACTTACAACACTGTCAACATGTTTGGTATCATGGAGTTGTATGAAGTGGTGTTATTGGAGACAATGGTCTCGTACCTGGTTGTACTCACCTGGTTGCATGTTTTTCTCTTAAAAAAGGTCTCGGAGCAGATCCTGCAGTTCTGTGAGGTGGAGAAGAATAACTTCAAGCTAGGTCTCAGTCAGGTAAGTTAAAGAACAGTTGAAGGGATAACAACTGTTCCTTTTGGTCAAAAATAGTTTTTCCTGGGGTAAAGAACAATTTTCCCATACTTACCAATGGTTAATGAATCCATTCCCACAGTCAAACTTAAATTGCATTCCCACAGATTTTTAGATCGATCTATCGCCTTGGGGAGTCTCACCAGACTGCTGTCAACTTAGCTGGCTTAAATGTCTGTCCCGTCAACTAAAAGCTGAAAGGGGGTAATTAACTTTCATGGGAGCTCGGCTGACAGCAATTTAGCATGAACCCCCAGGGAGTTAGGTCGATCCTGATGGATCGATCTAAATCTGTGGGAACCCATTCTTAGTCCCTGTTTTTTTCTAAAAAGTTTGATTTTTTGTAATTATCTGTTAAGAGGTTATTACAGAGTGTAGCCATCTATGGAGGTCACGTGATGTGTTGGCAAGCACAAATTCCAGAATAATTGCGTTAACTGCCATTTTGGTGATAAAATGGAATTTATTATATTTCTATGAGTTGTTTACAATGTATTTATTGTGAAATATGGATATCTTACAAACAGTTGTTATCCCTTTAAAGAACAGTGTCATTGACAGGTGATTGACAGGTCTCCAGCAGTATGCTTACTGCTGTGTAGTCAGCTATTTGGCTGTTTTGTTGAGCACAGAGGCACAATTTCAATACATAATCAGTAGACATTAAGCCATAAGAGTTATCTTTTACTTAAGTTATCTTGTATAAGATATAATAAGGTAAGGTAGGCAATTATTCAAAAGATTATGAATGATTTTAGAGATCACCTTGTGTGTATGTGATGTGGTGTGTGTATGGGTCATTTTCATGATCTTGAGTTAGTAAATATAAGTACATTAATGGGTTAATGTAAATAATTGTAGTAGTGGTGAACTGTGTTGATTTATTTGACAAGTGAACTTAAGTTTATGGCTGACAGTACTTCAGCTTTAAACAAAATTTTCTGTTTTAGAATAATGTAGTTGATAAAGTGAAGATATTGATAGATAAGTGAGAAATGTTTTAGTTGAATTCGGTTAAACTGGTACTGTAATGACCTAAACAAATTACCAATACTTATTTCTAGCTAAGTTTTGGAGGTAGAATAGGTGTTAACTCAGCATGGCAGGATATACATGACAGAAAGCATCTCCAGACTGTAGTGATATGTAGTAATGTGCAGAATATGTATGTCCTCCACATCTATTACCTCCTGACTGTGTGTTGTTATGTGTAGTTCTGCATGACAGCTGGTGCCATAGCATTTTATGATGCAACTGATTTGGCAATGGTCACAATAGTAAATAATACTACAGGTGCTTTCTTCTTGGGCCACATTTGTTTTTGATAGGATTGTCTGAACATTTTGGGGTGATTTACACACATGAGCATGCATGCACACACGCAGGGAAAAAATCAACAGTAGTAACTATGTGTTTGCTTTTTCACATGCAAGAGGTTCGTGTTAAAAAAATGAAATTTGGCAAAACATATCCAACAAAAAGCACTGGATGAAATTATACCAAGCGGTTGTGGCAGGGAATATAGTGTGTCTCATTAAAAATATATATAGATATATATTTCATCACTGCATGAAAAATAAAATGTATTACCCAGTGATAATGGTAGAAAATTATCTTGGTTTCAGGTATATAAGGATGTTAATAATGTCTTGCCATCATCAGTGTTCCTAAAATAGACCTGAAAGAATCAATAGTTCACTTCCAAACACACATGCAATTCCTTCATCTGGTCCAATCATTGCTGGACTGGACAGAAAAAAACTAATGTATCTTGAATCCTGTTCACATTACAAGAAGAAAAAATAAATGCCTGCCCACTGTTTGAAAACTCATGTCTACATGGTATCAGACATGGATTGGGTAATGGATCTTTCTGTCAAAGAGAACCAAAGATATTAGTGTTATAATAGAGGGGTAGTAAATGGGGGGAGGGTCACAGCAGAGTCCCCTTAATGTCAAGTGGTATAACCACTGAATGACTGGTGTGAGGTACATAAGGAGTCAAAATGACAATTTGGAAGCTTTCCATAAAGGTGATAATAGATTCAGATAGTGGATTGTAGAGGACACAGTGCCCAGTCTGCTGGGTGGACCTGTATTGATGTAGCATGATAAAGTCTCATTGGGAGGGAGTTGTAACAGAAAACCTGTGGCCCGTAGTCACGCAACAACTCTTACGCTTGGACCTTTCTTACTGAGGTGGGGAGATTAAAAGCAGAGGAGGCTTTTAGAACTGGATACTCATCCTTGAACATGAGTATCTTCACCCCCAGTTTGTGTCCAGGTTTAAGTTCACTTATGCAATTTGTTACCCTGATATCTTTCATTGCTGAAATAAAATGTGAGTTAATACCAGCCACAAAGCTATTGTTGTGGAGAGATTAATACACAACTGTTGATGTTTAGATATAATCAAAATTTATTTGCAGGCACCACAAGCCAAGCATAATGTCTCAGCAAGGTTTTTATGTGGTATATATATGAACAGCACTTGACCAGGTATTAGGCAAACATGTAATGCAATTGTGTGTAAATCAAATTCTAAGGGCAACATTGTTAAAGTCAGCCCTACCTGCCATCCCTTGGCTGTGGCAGTGGACTAGCCCAGGCCGTGGCAGCAGACCAGTACTGGAGTTGGCAAAACTTGAAGCCTCAGTTCATAGATATGGACTGACATATAACTTGAGATGTGATTCAGTAGAAATAATCTTTGAGAAAGAGGGTGAAAAAAAAAGAGGATGAGCCAAGGAGCAGCAAGGAGTAGGATATCAGTATTGCAGTTTTGAGCAAGCATGATTGAACCATGGGTTCTCTTTTTCATGACTCTATCACAGTGGATGGGAAGCCGTGTGGTGGGGAGGGTCAGGTTGGGGGTGGGGGTGGGGGTGAGGTCCAGACCGTGTACATCATACCACCTGTGACCAGGTTCAGATGTGAATATCACCTGTCTCGAGGCACCAGGGGGAGCTACAGGAGCGAGGTACGCAAAAATTTCTGGAGAGTTTTTCGGTTTGGTTATCATCCTGTTTCAATTGATTTTCTGAGGTCTCCTGTTTGGTATTCTAAACAGATAGGAGATGCACTTGAGTTTTAAGAGAAAGTTATAACAGGAAATCTTATCAGCTTTTTCATATTGTTCGATGATGAATTTTTGTGTGTGTGGAAAACAAAGAGTTATTTTGATTGGTCATTATATAGAGGAAGATGTACTAAGCAGTATTTTTTCCACTAGGAAATGCTGATGAATCTAACCCTTATGATGCAGCATATCTCAAGGAATAGTGAATGTTCATAGATCCTTCATATCTTTTAAGATGAACTTTGTTTAAAGAAACGGATATGATGTTTACATACATATAGATATTAAAGGGTATTAATATTTGATGCTCACACTTTTATTGACCCCAAGAGTTCATTTATTTCCCATCTAACAAACCATTATTGACAGACGGAATTGAGCATCACAATAGCTTAACTGTAGTTGAAGTTGTACTTGAGATGGAGAGATTGGATCATGCTGATAACAGTTGTTACCCAGGCCTAGAAACAACCGCCATACAAAGTTCCCTAGCAGTTCTGCTGTGGTCCAGTGTTGTTACTGTTAACAAGAATGGCCAGGTCGTGAATGGAAAAACAAACATATAAACAAGGCGCTGTTTACAGTATGAATGTTAGGCCAGTGGATTTATTCATTTGAATGTTAAATAAAATACCGGAGGATCAGATGAAGCATTAATGATGTTATAATAATCATAGGGGGCAGGCGATAAGTTCCTGGGGTTTTAACATGGTGGTTGTGTCATGTATCCCTCCGTTTGTGGAACATGACCTTTTTGTAGCAGTATAGCTGCTTGAGTTTTATCCACATTTGGCACCATATGTTATGCATTGCTTTTCAGATTTTTTTTGTCCCAATAGAAGCATGACATGCACTGCTATTTCTAAAAAATGAAAGTAATATCTATATTTGGCAGTCCCATTCTTGAGATATATTTGTAGATTTTAAAGAATATTGTCTAATCTGGACTTTAAATGAATATTTTTGCAGGTGCTAGAAATGTTTTGATTTGGATTGAAAATTGGGAAATTAGAAATGAAACACACTCATGTCATTTTAGCATCCTTATAATAAATGCACTACTTGCCCAAATTTATGTCCATTGAAAGGACAAATAAATACATTTTTTGGGGGGAGGGGGGGGGGGTGACATTTGATTTGCTAAATTTGGGTATTGCCTACAGTAATTAAATGTACTGTCCATTTACTATGATCTTTAGAATTGAACAAAAGTTGATTTATTGTAAAAGGGTCTCCTCTCTGAGAACTTGATGAATAACTTTGCATGATGAGTGTTCTTAATGGCTGCAAGGTATGCTACTTGAAATTTGTGTACCCAGATGATTAAGAAGCAATTTTCTCCTAATTTTCCATGTATGCTGCTTGTTTTGCAGGGTAAGCTGTATTTAAATGTGTGGGACTTTCCTATGTGGGTTCTTCTCACTTAAAATACTACTTAAAATTTGGCTTCAAATTACATCAGCTAAGCTTATATAGAAATACACCAGGCTGTATTGTGTTCATAGAATGGCAATGTCAACATGATTTCCCATTTAAAATTATTGGAAATTAATTTTAAAGGAAAGAATAATTAGATGAATAAACAAAAGAAGACATTAAGATCAAGCAAAGATGCCACTTTCAGTTTTGTCATCATGGCTTCATACAACAAAATACGCCAGCCCACTGTATTTTTGTGTTTTAATCGAAAAGCCAAATGTGTAAATGAAATGTGAGGTCTGAGAGTATCGAGTGTGCCATATGTTGTCAGTGTCACAGCAGGCTGTAGTACAGACACACCCAGGGTGGTGTGATGTCACACATACTCATTTATACTAGGAGACAGGGAATCTGACTTACTTGGCAAGATCTAAACTTAATGTAGCATGACAGAAGAGCATATTTTACCAGACAATTAGATCAATTATTGATGGTTTTTGAAGCATGTATCTTTTAATTTCCATCCAGTTTTGATGCTAATAAGGTGGGTCATGAAAGGTCAAGGAAATGATAATTATTTAATTTTTAATGGAATAAAATTTGTAATGGTAGACAGAAAATTATAACGGCAGACAGGAAAAAATTGTTATCAATAATTGTAGATTGATGATAAAAATGTTTCAGATACTTATATGATATTGATAACTTATATTTATTTATAAATAAACTTAATAATCACTAGGTTTTATTTTTGGAATATCTTGAAACTATAATTTGTAGTATTGAGTAATAACATAAGGTAAATTAGATGACAAAAATTAAATCATTCTAAAGTAAATCAATTCTTAAGAGACTAACTTTGTTGTTCTACCTATAAGACATGGCATTTTTATCACCATTACATGATGAAGAAACTTATTTCACAGAAAGGTAAATGTAGTCCTTGTGTTTTGTTTCAGGTGTTCTTCCGTGCTGGTGTACTTGCCCAGTTGGAGGATACCAGAGATGGAAAGATAGCTGACACTGTCATAGCATTCCAGAAGTTCTGCAGAGGATACCTGGTTAGACAGAGAGTCAAGAAGTTACAGGTAGGAGCATGTTTTGTGACACTGTGGTGTACCTGGAATTGTGTTCCTTGAGTGGTTACAGGATACATTCCCAAAAATAACACCTGAAGTGTTTTTGGAAAACTAATTTTGACTAATGGTCATTTTGCCACTATCTCACCTGTATTCACTAAAATGCAGACCAGAAATGCTGCCTTTGTCTGTAAAAGATACAGCCGTAAAATATAAAACATCTGTGTGACATTTGTGTGAAAATTGCTCGTTTTTAACAGTGAACTTATCAATTTTTTCATGATTAGAATGCTACTTTTCTTGTGTTTTATGTATTGTTGCAAAAAGCATAAATTTCAGAACCATCTCATAGATTTTGCTTTTCATTATGTTCTCTTTCATCAGAATACTATAATATCATACTTGAAGGAGGGAAGGGTTGGGTGATATTGTGCCGCAGGTGCTACATATATGTAATGTGTTGTTCAGTGCACCTCATGTGTTCTCCCCTTGTGCCCAGGTCCAGCACATTGCCATCAAGTGTATCCAGCGCAATGTGAGAAAGTTCATGCAGATCAGAGAGTGGTCTTGGTGGAAGCTGTACACCAAGGTGCAGCCTGTCCTCAATGTGCACAGGACAGAGGAAGAACTGAAGGACAGAGAGGTGGGTACTCCTAATACATTGGCACAGTAATACACTGCATATCTAACATACTGGTCAGCACATCCAACACACTGACACATCCAACACACTGTACACCTAACATACTGACACATCCAACACACTGCACATCTAACACAATGTACTGTGCAATATAGGGATATTAAGGCCACTAATAGTAAAAGGACCAAAGTCATAGAAACAAAGCCCTGGGCTTATAAGTTTTTATAAAAAATTAAAACAAACTTCCCAAAAGGCCAATTAAAGACGGGGATTAAGTACAGTGTCCAACGGATGACGCTCTGGCGCCAATTTGAGGGGAAAAATGCCGTTTTCGGTATTGGGATTTTCTCTATAACCAAGACAGCTATTCAAGTGATTCAAAAGGCCTCATAAAGCTGGGTGAAAGCACT